AGATATTTTTGACCTAAAACACATTTAATATTCCCTTTGTAAAAAGTTATAAGGAGATTATTTAAGGTGTTTTTGGCTAAAAATGCCATAAATAATCTCTCATAAAAATTTATTGAGAAAATTATTAAAGGTATTTTTTGTCAATAATCCCTTACAAAAATTTTAAAAGGGATTATTAAAGGTGTTTTTGGCTAAAAACGCATTCAATAACCTATATAATAAATTTTGGGATGAGGCATTTTTGGCTCACATAAAAATTTTTTAGGATTATTGAAGGTGTTTTTGGTCAAAAACGCTTTGAATAATCCCTACTCAAATTTTTCTTTAACTCCACCTCTCATCGACTCTATATACTTAATCTTCACCTCCTACCAACTTTCTCCACTCGTCTATACTCATAACCTAATCTTCACCTTTCACCAACTTTCTCCACCTTTCACCACCTTTCACCGACTCTACAAACTTAAAGCTATCGACACCCATTTTGTTTTAAAGCTGAATTAAAGTTGAAGCATCAAGACTTTCGTTATTTTTTAAAAGTATTTTTTATTTTTTGCATTTCAATTTGTGTCATCAAGTATGCCTATTTTTTTGTCTTTCTAATGGCACTGGCTTTGATTTCACTATGTGGTCAAAATTTGTAAATGATGGCAAATATGTGTGGTTTCTCCAAAAATTGCTTACCCATGTCTAGATAGGATGAACTTAATATTTTCTTCAAAAAATCTAGGTAAGTAAACTTTATTACCATCTTTATGAACTTTGTAATTTGTCTATTTCCTAACATTTAAACAGTTAGATGAAGTTTCCTTTTAACTAGATCCAATGCTTTTTATTTTCAACACAGGGCTATGGTCATTTTCGACTTAAATGTACTAAATTGGAGGACTGTAGGTCCAGACGTTTTTGCCATGGGAGCTTGAAATTCTAGTAATGCTGAATCGCTCACTAGATACACTATCAACTAGGGCTATACCATTCATAAATATAAATGTTCTTTTTTTTTTTGGATTTGGTACAATGACGTTAATTCTTTAGTTATTTTAAATTTGTGTATTATAAAATAATTTGGTTGTTACTTTATTTCAAATGTTGTTAAATATTTTTATTTTTTTGTGTATTTTTACTTTATATGAAATCATATTATATTATGATTATAAATAAATTAATATTAATAATTAAAAATATAATTAAAAAAATATTTTTAACGACGTTTTAAAATTTATACCGATGTGTTTTACTATTAAAATATTTTAGGTTATACTAACAGTTATCATGGACCGTTAATAAAAGTTAAAACATATAAGACTATATTGATGGGTATTGACTGCTGGTAAAAGATATATTGACGGAGATATTATCGATGAAAGTTAAAAAAATTAAAACATATAAATCTATATTTATGAGAATAACCGTTGGTGAAAGGTATAATGTAAAATACACAATAATTATTATATCAACAGCTATATATATAGTGACTGACTAAACCTATCAGTATATCTTTGTTACATATTTTGATAGCTTAAAAACTGTCGGTATAAATTTATCATAATAAGAGATATATTAACAATTAAAAATTTATTAAAATAAATATTTTGATTGTTAATATAAGATTTATTATATTATATCGACGAATTTTTAAGTTTTACTTTTGATTTTTTGAATGTCAATAAAGAATAATTTTTTTGTAGTGGTAGTGCATGCAATAATAACAAATAATGAATTAAATGTTGTCACTGACAGCCATTTGCCGCCTCGGTTTTCATTGGATATACATCTTTGTCTTCGTAATACGAACATTATGCGCACGTTCTATTTGAAACTGAGAAAAAACCAAACAAAATCTTGCTCCGGTGTCGGCACAGTGCCAAATCTTTTTCATTCTTAAAGTAAGGAAAAATAAATCTCTGACTGCAACTCCCATGTCTCAAACTGCACCATTCACTATTGAAAAGAAAACATTCAACAGCCAATAGATTCATGCCGAATGGTGCCGAATGGTGCCGAATACAGGCCCACAACGCCTGGACCAAAAATGGGTAGAGACACGTGGGGTTGGGTGAACGATTCATTGAACAAATTCATGTTTTTTCAGAACATAGAAAAAATGGAAGAAAGGGCGCAATCTTAAATCTGCCGACGGTACCAAAACTCAACTGCCCACCTCTCCCAAATTAGGATTTAAAAAACTACTGACATGTGCACGTGCTTCCTCTCCTTATTCCACAGCAATAGATGGACTGTGTTTGCTTGTTTGTCTTTACAACACCATCATAAATAATTCATGCTTAATTGTCTTACCTAAAGTTTTGGTTTCTTATAATAATATGCAATAATTAGATAATTTTTATATTATTTCATTTTTTTATTATTAAAATTGATTGAACTCGTCTTTAGTTTTTTGATCTAATAATTAAGAAATGTTAAGAAGACATGTAAAAGTGAAGTTTGAATTTTATCATCTTCTATCCTCAATCTAATATATAAAAATAAAATTGAACTCAAAATTTTTAATTTTCTTTTATGATATGTATGCGAAATTCATTATTTAGATGCTTTTTTCCGTTTTAGAAAATCTATATATTATATGGTTTTTTTTCCATTTCGGTAATTTTTATATATTAATTTCTTTTAACTTTGAATTTCAATTATATATATATATATATGTCACAATATATAAAAACACAATGAAACTTTATCCTTCCTATTTACTTTTTGAAAGGCAAAAAAGTTGAATTTTTATAGCCAATCAATTTTCAAAGAGCATTTGCGAAGTTGATTATTCCAAGTTGGAAATATTATACATTGGCAAAATCCACCTGACTGCTCCCAACTTCAGTAAAATATATATTTACAATAACCAATTGTACTATAGTAAACTATCTTATCCATTCAGAAACATATACGTTAAGGATAATGAGTAGATACCCATGATTATGTTGGTTTAATGATAGTGTTAAGGCACTGATGTCTTCAATTTGGTCAAACCCATTAACACATTAATGATAACAATTAAGTAGGTATTATTTTGCAGTTGGGGTATGTACTATAATTCAGTGTAAGTCTTTTTACAAAGAAACTCACAGTTTAGGGATAAGGAAAAACATTATAGATGTTAGGATTTGAATTTTAAATTTATTATATATTATTTTTTAAGAATAATTGTATGAATTAATTGAATTAAATTTAAAATTTTAATTCAAAGCTTTAATTAGTCATAATGTAAATACTATTTATTGTAAATAATATAAAATTGAAATAAACAAAACAGAGTTAAAATACAGGGAAAAAGTTAAAATACAGGGAAAATTTTAAAAAATAAAAATAAAAAATCAATGTTCAAACCCTAATTATAGTTCAAAAGACAAAAAAAAAAAAAATCCAAAAAACTCGATGTTTTCAATTCAAGATCAACTATGGCATTAAAATCTAGATTGGAGGTCGATATTCACGCATAGCGGGAATACTTGCAAAGATTATAAAGGCAATAAAGAGGAAGGCCGAAATCGGTTCATTGATAATCAAAGTCAATAAAAACCGAGTCTAATATTGAGACTCAATAGAAAGTCTAAAGAGATAATAAAGAAGACTAGCGTGGTTTAGTACGAAAGGATACAAAACTTTATTAATATTCATAGCCGTATTTTCCAACAGACTTATATTATATAAACGTACTCAAAAAGTAAAATTATCATATATGATAATATTTAATTCAATAATTAATATGTAATTTTTTTATTTAAAAAATTGAATTCGAATCTCTCAATTTAATAAAAAAATTTATCATGTATGGAAAAGATAAAGCTGTAAGTTACAGAAAAAAGTTGTTCCATATATATGCCTAATCTAAAAAAGTTGAAAATTTTGATCCTCTCAAGTTGAAAATATTGACTCTTTTTTTGGTTATATCTTGAAACGAATGAGCCGTGTGAGTATTGCCCAGACGTACGCATGTTTGTACTAAAACGGGCGATTACTTTTTAAGGCATAGAACAAACAAAAGAAACATAGAAACAGGTGAGATTAGTTGGTGTTTTTCAAAGGAGAAATTATCAAATAGTAAAGTTTTTTAATTTTATAAGCTAATAAAAAAAAAAGTAAATCACTGTATAACTAACAAAACTTCCTGTGTAAACCAAAAGAGAAAGTTCTGGTTTCTATTAAATTAAACCCATATTCCCCTACATGTCATGGCAAATTGCTCTTAATTATTGTGCTATTTTATCAGTTAGTGCAGCATACAATCAGCAATTTTATGTTTTATTAATTTTTATCTGAATTAATTATTCAGAAAATTCGAGCATGATATATATATATATATGGTTTGATCTTATGAAGAAGAAATAAGAAATATAATTAAAATAATTAATTAATTCTAGTAAATTCCAACTGACTAACCAGTGCATAAGAAGATGAAGATGAAAAAGGAAGAATTTTCTATGCATGCATTGGATCCACAAAAATGTATATATAAATAATTTTTTTGGTTGGCCAAACTCTAGTATAATGATTAATGTTGAAAATATTCATTAATTAGCATGTTATGATCCTAGGCATGCACATGCATCATTTCCACATTAGTTAAAGACTTAAAAAGAGTGCTAACATGCAATATTGCAATGGAATTTTAGGGACCCCACCAAATAAAATAACCCATTTTGACCAAATCTTAGAAGATAAAAAATCATATCTGTATTTTCTCATTGCAAAATATTTATCACATGAAATTAAAATCCCATTTGTATAATCCCAAGTTTAATGAACTTTTTAAGAGGATTACTATAAGCTAGTAGTGTTACTGGTAATATCTTTACTACCACAACATGATCTAGAAGAAAGGGATTAAATACAATTATGTAGAAAAGTTTATAATAAAATGTATAAAAGATAAGGAAATGTCGAGCCAAATGCGTCTTATCAATGGAGAGGTGTTTTGTCTACCAAAATCTAAAGGGGTTTCTTATATGGGGTCCATCTCAGACGTACTAACCTTTTGCTTATTTAATACCACCTCACTTCTCCCCTCCAAAGCCCCCCTCCCTACTCAACTTTTCACTGCTTTTCTTTTTCATCTTCTTCTTCTTCTTCACTTCTTCTCTCTTTCAATTTCTTGTCCATCTAGTTATTTACATCAGCTCCAAGGGAAAACAAAAAATACTCCACAAATTAAAGGAGGGGTGAGCTGTTGACAGTAGTTACTAAAGTTAGTATTGAGGGTAGCCCTAGGATATATAGTTAGACAAGTGGGAGGCATGAAGGAGAGTGGTAGGAAGCAGGGTGCATCCTCACCATGTGCAGCATGCAAACTTTTAAGGAGAAGGTGTGCCCAAGACTGTGTTTTTGCTCCTTATTTTCCTGCAGATGAGCCCCAGAAGTTTGCTAATGTGCATAAGGTGTTTGGTGCTAGCAATATCAACAAGATGCTTCAGGTTAATATTTCTACCACCACTTTTATTACTTACTAGCACTGACACACTGGGGGTCAGTTTGGGAGCCCCTTCTTCATTCCCAAGCTTTAACTTGACAAAGATTCTCTGATTAAACAATGTGAAATTTTATTTCATTCTACATTCCTAGAGTGCTCAGACACAGCTATGGCTTAATTGAGCATATAAATATACATAATCGTACTTATTTAAGTGCTTCTGAGAGAAATTTGCTCACTAAAAAACTAAGTTTTGATGAGTTTTTTTTTTTTTTTTTTTAAATCATCTGTTCTAAGGAGAAAAATATAGCTATTTCTTATTAAAGGATGAAGCATTTCCCCTGTAAATTAATGAGGTTGGCACTCATTTAGTAAAGCCAATGATGATTGTGATGATGTCTAGACATGATGCAGTTAATTTCCTGTTAATAGTCTCAATTTTTGGCACAAATTAGTAAAGATTAGCCTAGTAATGAGTTGTTTCATTTCATTTGTAGTAAGTAGGTGATATCTTTTTGTTTAAGATGAAACCAAAAATCAATCAACAGTTCCTGTCCCCTATATATAGAGCCTCTGGGTAACTTGTTCCATTGTTTCCTATTTGAAGTTCTCTAGCTGTATTAGGATTTAGGACCTAGCTAGAAACTCAAAATGTCTAAACATTGATGAACCCAAAATCACTGTGAGGGCTGTTTGGAGATCACGTGAAGGCGTTTCCTATGTTGCTTTTCTCATTGAAAATTACAGAAATAGGTTCACCCCCAAGTAGGGAAATTTTGTCGCAGAGAAACAGATCATTCATATCCATATTAAAAAAAAAAAAAACTAGTAATAAAGAATTGAGGCACCAAAATCTATTGCCCCAAAAGCAAATTTGGTGGCATATGGACAGAGGCATCTAGTAAAATACAAATCAGAAGTTGGCGTCTTGGAATCACCTACTAAAAATAAAAAAGTAAAAGAAAATGCCTTTTCATACTTTTTTTTCTTTGAATAATAGTTTTTATTTATTTTAAAGGGAATACTTTTGATAAATTCAATTATACTGAAAATGAAGCAGGGCAAATATATAAAAAATGATGTCACCATGAGCTCATATTAGTTTGGGTTTCAGGCCCATGGGCTACAACTTTGGCCCGTTTTCCCTTCCTTTTGGGCCCTGCAAGCTGATAAATTGAGCTATCAAATTTGCAGGAGTTGCCACTGCACCAGCGAGGCGACGCGGTCAGTAGCATGGTCTATGAGGCCAACGCCAGGGTTCGTGACCCCGTTTACGGGTGTGTCGGAGCCATATCTTCACTACAGCAGCAGATAGACGCCCTCCAAACCCAATTGGCCATGGCACAGGCAGAGGTGGTGCACCTCCGGGTGAGGCAGTCCGCATCCTTTTCACATCATGGGTTCGGCCCTGCAAGCCCAAGTAATAGCGGTTCACCTGCATTCAAGCTCATGGGTTCACAAACCAAGCCCATTTTTGACATGGACATGGTGGTGGACCAGGCTAGCTTGGGAGAATCCATGTGGTCATGCTAGCTTAATTTTATATATATATATATATATATATATATGTCTAGGCTACATTTTTGTCACCCTACGCTTAATTTCCATCTTAATATAATCCCTAAATCCTTTATATACAGCAATTTAATTAGAGAACGAGAGAGGTGGTGGCAGCAGCGGTGGCGCTGTGGCGGCTGGAATGGTGGTCAAGGTCATTTAGCTTACTTTGGTTTGAAAAGGGTCTTTGGTCATTGACTATTTATAATGTACATATATAATTTTAACTTTATATAATGGACTTTAAGCTGGTGCATGAATTTCTCCATTTCTTTCTGATTGATGGTGATGACCACTTATATTTTCCGCATTTGCTCAATACTTTGGTGGTGTTGGTTTACCTACCACCAGGTGCGCAAAATTTCCTTATCTGTTGTTCTTTGGATGAATTGCTTTTTATTGACCTAATAGAAATGAATTGTTATTCTTTGGATGAATTTCTTATCTCATTTGGTTTGGCACACTGAATCTTTCAACTCAAAAAGAAGGGAGAAAGAAATGTGCAAGTGTTTCCATTGGTTTAATTGATAGAAATGTTATTGCAACTTTTTATCCAAGTTCAAATTTTCAACAGAAACCAATGACTTGGGAAACTAGGTATGGTATTATGTAGGAAAAGTCTAGCAAACAATTGACAAAAAAAATTAAAAAATAAAAAAGAAGCATATCCTGCTGTTTTCATGATGCAAACGAACTTTGGTTTCTTGAATCAACACTTTTGCAGGGAATGTCTTTTAACAGAAACGGAACTATCTCTCTTTAAATATAGAGACATACTTGAAAGCCTTGTCATTTGTCAAGCATGTGATTTATCATAATTGATCAGTTGGTTGAAGACTACTCAGCATCAAGCTAGGCTCCTTTTTGTGACATTAATTCTTTCGGTTCCCCAACATTAATCAAACCCATAATGATGAAAGCTTGTTGATTGAACTCATGGAAGCTATATCTACCAAAAAGGTCAGCAGTTTAGGGTGGTTAGTGTGGCTAATATGGATTCCCTCTTATGTAGACCTGTTGCCTACTTTTAATAATTTCTTTATTTCCATCCAATAATCTATGAAATAAGTGTTGGATATGTGGGTGCTGTCAAATAAACCAATCATGTCCATATCCAGTGTAGTTTAGAGTACTGAAAAATGGTGAAATGAAAGTTTCCCAGTTGTTTACAGCTTACCTCACATGGTGGGAGGAAAACACAAGCCCATTGGATCTCCAAAATTGCAAACCATTTACTATAGTCTCGACTCTCAAAGAATATTGGTAGCTTTGCACATTTTTAACACTACATATATACCATAAGACATTATTTGCCAGTAATATCTGATAATTGATTCATTTTTCAAAGCCAATGCTTAGAAAAGAGATCAATTTCCTAGTCATTAATGTTGAAACAAAAGCTAGCAAGAAAGTTAATTGGCCATGGAACTAAGAGAATCAAATTTAGGAAAGAGGAAACTTGTAAAGAATGCAGTAAAATTCAAATGTTTACACTAATTGATCCAAATTACTATGAGCTAAAAAATGTTGAAAACTGACCTAAACCAAATCACTACCTGTACCAGTTTCCTTTTGCTCCCCATTTGGGTTACCAATAGTAAAGTGGTGGGTGTATTTGACAGGAGGAATAAAGAATTAATACTCACTCTTCTCTTCTACCCCCTCTCAACGAAGGAATTTAGCTTGGGTTTGGTGGAATACACTTGCCATTATAGACTTCTATAAGTCAAATCACCCTCTCATTATGTCCCTTTGCTATGATTTAGACAGGCTAATTAACCCACAAACGCACTTTAATTTATTTGGACTCCAAAGTCTAAACACTAAAGAAGGTTATTATTATTTTTGAATTCAACAGAAAACTTTCCATCAAGTCAACCCAAGGGAAAAGGACATTTTTCATGCATGTCAAGGCTGCAATTCTGATTCCATCAAGTAACAAATTAGATTTGTTTTTACACTTTATTTGAACTTACTTTACTTTCACTGTTCTTTTCTCAAATAGTTACAATTGTGGTATCAAGGGTGACTAAAACTAAAATCAAGAAATTATTAGGGTGATCAAGGCCCAACTTTTATGCAGTCCAATATAATGTGGAAAACTGAACTGCAAACAGAAAAAGAAAATTGCAGGTTTACAACTCAAGTCAGGGTCCAATACAGAGGGCTCTAGACCATCGGACAACGGCAAAAAAAATGGGCTAACAATGAGACCCAAGTTTGCCAATTTCAACAGGATTGGTTTCCCACTTCTTTCTCTGTGAGGTTGCCAATGCAAAGAAGACTGCTGCCGTGCTGCTAATGTATTGGGTTTATATTACCTATAATCAATTAATTGTATCCGAGTATATAACAATCTCGACCATTTTTAAATACGAAGGTTTATGAATGGACTTGCCCTGGACTCAATGGCCCTGTCTGGTATACATGAGCTTGAAGGGTCAATCAGTTGTGTTTTTACAGGACATTGGTATTTGAATAAACTAAAATTTCCAATGATACTCAACTGGTCAACTCTAGACATTGTTCAAAACTAACGAAAAGACGATGTCCCACATTTATGTACTTCAGAAGAAATTCCGAGATACATGAAAACACAAAGAGCGGCCTCAACTTTTCCTTCACAACTATGTTGAAGTAGATTAATGATCATAAACTTTCAAGATGTTGATGATTTAGTTTGTAATACTTAGGTACCAGAGGAAGTTCCTGGCTCTCGATCAGTCAAATTGGTTTTGTTTGTGCCATAACAGGGTGAGAGGAGGAAACCATTGCATTAGATTTACACCATTTTTCAGTTCTCTTTTGGTGATTAAACACCTAAATTAATAGTACAAGATTTCAGGTATTCTAAGATTCCTGTGTGTAGCACATATTGTCACATGAATTTGGATAACAAAGATTGAAATGGAAAGTTGATCAGCTCCAAATGTTTCAATACCAGCATTACATACACTCAGAGTACAAGAAATTTCCCCAGGCACCTGTCTTCCTCTAACAAATATTCAGTCAAAGCACTCCTATCTTCCTACGTAGCTATCCCATCGAGTAATTCCATTCAGTCTCCGTACCCAAAAGGAATCAGAAAAAATCAAATCAATACAGCCAATTAGTTAATATTAACAATCATACATTGGAATGTTCCAATATTACCGGAAATGAAAATCACGTAAAACAATACTTCAATATTATAACAAAAATCAAGCCAAAATTTCTGTTTTTACAATTTCCTTGCGTTTTATCTCATTAATTTCACCATTTTTCTAAAATTTAGAATATTACAAGACAATAAGACAACCTATATCACAAGTTAGATCTGAATATGGTTAACATTTTAAAATTTCCTACATCCTAATTATATTTACATAACTGCTAACAAAAAATAAAGAAAAATTGTTGTTGACAGTTAAAGAGAAATAATACTATAAGGCAAGAACATACATAAATTAATCTAAAAAGACAAGGAATTTTTTAAGAGAAAGAGAGGAGAGACAGACCTGAGGAGATTACACATCCTTGACAACAAGGTCACCATTGATAAGCTCTCTGTAGGCAGCGACAGGCCAAATAAAGCCTCTAAAGAGAAGACTGGCAGCCAAAGGAACATCGATGATGATCTCCTTCATGGCTGGCTTCTTGTCATCGCGTATAGCAATCAGGTAGCTCCTTCCAACCCATCCGATCCATCCAGCGATGTACAAGAACAACAGACCTGGTGTGATGAACTCACCCCAGTGCCTCTGGTCACCATTGACTATCAAATGGGGCAACCCATCAGAGCCACAAAGCAACCCGTATTTCCCATAGTTGTCAAATCTTCTCTTGGTTTTCTCGATGGTTGCTTTGATAGCGAGAGCCGGTGCGCTGTCAGGGGCGTAAAGCTTCAACGATGATTCGAGCTTCTTGATCTGCTGCTTCTCACGTTTGGCGAATTGCTTGGACTCTTTACATGGTGTCAGCCCTGAAATGTCAGCTAAAGCAGGCAGTGGAGCTGAAAGAAGAATGGAAGAAAGAGCAAGAGCAGCTGAGAAGGCTTGGAGTGGTGAAGCTGATGGTGATGAACTCTTGTCTGAGGATGGAGTACTTGAGCATACCACCAATGATCTTGAAACTTTGGGGGTTACTTGGGAGTTTAGCATTGGCTTCAAAAGCGATTTTGAGAGATTAGTAGGGATTGTAAGAGACATCTTGGGGTTACTTTTTCTTTTTTTTTCGGTGGTTCCTCTGTCTTCTTTGTTGATGAAGAGAAATCAAGGAGGATTTGACAGGAGGGAGAGATGGGTTCTAGATTCTGAGAGGGAGAGACTAGTGGTGGGAGAAAGGATAAGATACAGGGATGCAAGAAAGCTGAGTTGGATGGTTGTGATTGGCTAAGACTGTTTGGTTGTGAGTTTCAGATTCTCCCTATATCTGTATGTTTTGGATAGATTGTTGTCGTCGGTAGGCGCGCTCTTCATGAGCCACGGCTACTGATTACTGTTGCAATATCTCTACACGTGTGATGTTTTTGAAGTTCAATAATAACAAGAAAATAAAGATTAGAGTTAGCAGAAAGAGGAACTAGTTCAACAGTGCATGCTCGAAAATGCAGCATAACTAAAATATAGAAGGCAGTGGGGGAATAATATGACCAAGGAAATGGAGTTTTCGGAGATTGTCTACGCTCACTATATTTTTTTTTTTTTCTATATATTATGAAGTACATAAATGGACGGCCTCTTTACTTTCTCTTGATGCCCCTGCCATTGTGGCGACTTAAGTAACCCTTTTCGTTTCCAACATTCTGTTACATCCAACATAAGCGCCATTGTTAGGCAATCAAAATCAAACTAATTTAAGTACGATTCTAGATGTTTCAGTTTCCAAATGGATCATTCTCTGACCATTTATGGGACCAAAGTTCAAAATTATCAATAGCAACGGTCTAACATCAGTCTCACAAATGATTCTCGTGTGCATGCCTTCTATGCTCTTTATCTGCATAACTACTTCGACCCATTTTATGCCCATCTTCTATGGTGTCATGGTTGTAACTTGACATGTACTCATGACGCTTCTTCCCTTCTGGGTGCCTGTCAGGTGGGCTTCCACCTTTTCTCTTTCTGCTGTTCACCATCGGAGAAGTATCATCCAGCATTTCTCCTTCTTCAGCAGCTTCTGTTTCAAGCCCCCTAGATGACTGCCCCTTTGCAACAACAAAGTGGTTCCCTTCTCCCATTTCCCCATGATCCTTAACATGATCTGGATTCTCGGGCCTAGACCAGCTCTGTCTACGTTCTCGCTTGATTTTCTCACCTTCTACAGCCAATTCGACACCATCCTCTAGCTCCTTCTCAATAAGATCATCTTCATCCATGAAATCCTTTTTCTTCATTGTTTCCCCACGAGACTTCCTCCTTTTCTCAAGTGCAGCCTTCAGCTTGTCTTTGTCAATTTTGATAGCTTCTTTCGGGGACTGGCCAACTGGTCCTTCCCTAACGTCCAAGTTTCTCCCAACCACCCCACTAGCCTTACGTGACGCTCCATCATCTCTCCACTCACCTGTTTCTGCAATGTCATATCTTCCACCAGTTCTTTCCTGTTCTTCCCCAACTGTTCGCTCCATTCCAGACCTAGATTTATTTGAAACTTCCCTTATGTTCTCCTTCTGGGGCAATTGCTCAGGATGTTGATTATCCTTGGTTTCTATATCCATCTTGTGATCAGTAATAACACTGCCCATCTCCCCACTCCCATTATCATTACTTTGATTTTGAGCACTTCTCGATGGCATCCCATGATTGTCCGCAGATGAGTAGTCAGCTGTTGCCCGTGAGGATATTTGTTTTTCTTCACTTCCAGAAGGATGTTTAGCTGGGGCTCGATAAGACATACTACCGCCGGCACTTCCTTCTACTTCACTGCCCTGAGATGGGGGTAGTCTGTTTTGCTCATAAAGTTCCAGCATTTGATTGCTAACCTCTGCAAGATAAACACAGTGACTAAGTAGAATATCCAACTAAAGCTACAAAAAAAAAAAAAAGACACAAAAGGATAGCTAAGATTCACAGCAGCATCCATGGCATTTCACACTACATGGCAATAAGCAAACTGCCTACCAAATCCAAAAGAATTACATTAAATAGATAGCTATAATCATGTATTCGGTGGGCCAATTTTAAGAGAAGCAACATTCAACAAATGCTATAAGCAAGCAAACACAAGCAACATCAGTTCCATTGGGGCCATCTAATAACTATCTAATTGTATTAACCAGATCTTTATTACAAAGTTATGGAGAGGAGACCAACCCTCTAATTGGCGTGGGGTGACATCAAATTCTTGCCACCAGACCTTCTCACCATCTGAAGGAAGCTTCACTTTGAGGAACTTGGCAGCAAGGAAAATGGCACCTGCCGCAATATGATGGGGCTTAAATTGCAGGCAGAGCGACGTCCTCAGCCTGCAAGCCGCTTTCCAGTGTGTCAAATGAAAACACAAGGAAGAGATCATAAACACTTGAAGAAACACCACTTAAACGTACCCATCATTGACAAAATTCCATGCAACCTGAGCAAGAGCATTCTGTGCAACCTTGAATTTCTTTATAGCCTCAACAAGAGGTTTATACGGGTGATGAACATTGAGGTCAAAACCCAAAGTGGCAAGTACAACCCTCTCCCCAAGTAAAATTAGCTCTTTTTGTTGCTCATACACTTCCTGCAAGAAATATTGAGGCTAATGAGTAACTCTAATAACTACAATTACAAAAACAAAAAATTAGAATAAAAAATAACTAGGATAATAAGAAATGCTATATTTTAACAACAATTAAAAGAAAAGTGACGTAGCAGGGAGATAGTTTAGCAAGGACACAGCTGTTGGAGGAAAAAAGTGGATTCTGAGAAAGAATTTTGAGTTCAAGAGGAACAGAAGAATAAATTCTGACATAAGCAAAGAGAACACACCAGAATACTGGCAAGGTATATGTATCAGACAAATTTTTTACACAAATTGGCAATATATCACACAATAACGGTGGAAAAATTTTACAAGTGACTAAAATCTCAAAGGTGAAGTCCTCATACTGTACCTTGCAAGGGAATTTTAGGTCATTAGATTTTATAAGAAGAAAATATAACTAGTGGGGTCAGTCTTATATGCCTATGGAATAAGAAAATGAGTGAAAAAGAAAACTAAATAAACACGAGAGCAAATGAAATGAAAAAGATTATACAAATGGAATGGAAAGTGAGAGCAGGTTAGGGAACCATCTCGCAAGTCAGGGTGAAAGAGACATGGCATGGAGGACAAGTGGCAACTCAAGCATCAGAAAGAGGAATGCAAATAAACTGGTTAAAATACTATTAATTTAACGAACACCTTCTGTTTGATCCTCTGGGCTGCAGCAGGATCTTTTTTGTGTATTATCTCATAGGAAACAAGAATAACATCCTTTAATGGACGAGGTGTCTCTTCAACCTTCCCAGCAAGGAACATACACACTGTAGCAATGGTCTGTCAAGCATGGAAATTAAGTTAAGCACAAGGTCATAAAAATGTTCTGACTCAATGCTCTTTCTTAACAAAATTTTCCATCAGAAATGAAGTTAAAAAGAGGTATTATGTTCACAGCTTATATTATAACACTTTTCACAGTTTTCAGTGTTCCACCATTCTAGTATGCAGACCGACATTATTTCATCCAAAAGAAATAATAATTGAATTAAAATTCATAATGAAATGGAATCAAAACATAAAGACTGCTCAGATTTCTAAAAGGAAATATCTAGAGTAAACAGATTTAGCTTAAATAAAGAAGTTTTAACAAGATTAACCATGATTAGAATAATAACTCACCCTTCTATCATTCTTCGCATGTGATTGTCGAATGAAGAACCTGTGACAAAAGATTATTGCTGTGGCTATTGTTACCTGGGGCCTGTATCAGGTAAGAAATTCAATCTGAGCCAACAAATATTGATGTGCTTATGAATACACTTAATGTCAGAATTGCAGATCTCTGTGTGATTAGAAAACAGAATGTCACAAGAACTCATTCACTCATAAGATTGTAAAAAGTAAAAGAAGAAATAATAATTACATAATATGCTTTCAGGTTTGATAAACTGTTGATAAATAAGACCTAGTTACATATGAAAAGCCCTACTGTATTAACACCCATTGTTTGCTGATGTAGAACACTTTTCCAGAAATACAATGCCAAACCCAGGCAAAAAATGACAGATATTCACACACACACATACAAAACACACAAAAACACAGACAATGAGCTTACACAGTTATGTGGATTAGCTTTTGCTAACGATAAAGCACATGAATATCAAAATAAGGCAAATAATCACAAAATGACAGACTGACAGACACACATGCATCAGTCTGCTTGCAAACAACAATCCGTCAAGATTCTTTCACTATAGAAGGCCATATAGATCCAAGTATAGCATAGCAAAAGGCATCCCATCCAAACCAGGAAATGTTGCCTAAAATGATCATTAGTAGCAGCTATGAACACTATTGACAGGAAAATGAAATATATATTATATTTTTAAAAGCATAATGCTAACATTTAGACCATTTCTTTGTTATAAAGTTATGATTAAGTGATTTCAAGTTCTACTTTCCATGCACCTACCAGCATTGAAACAATTAGGTAGTTGAAATAAATAATATCTCAATGTTTTACCATGGCGATATAACCATGTTAAATACACAAATTTAAGAACTTTCTACCTAAAATAAACATTAGAAGTTACTTCCACTTTTCTTGCTATAAACTTTATGGAAAAATTGAATACAAAAACTGATCACAGATGGCTCAATATTTTAACAGCTATCCTCCAAGATTCTTTCACTACAAGAAGCCATAGAGATCCATGGATAGCTTACCAAAAGGCATCCTATCCAAACCAGGAAATGGTGCTTAAAATGATCAACAGTAGCAGCTATGAACACAATTGACTGGAAAATGAAAGATGTACTACAATCTAAAAACATAATGTGAACATTTAGACCATTTCTTTCTGTTATAAAATTATGATTAAGTGATTTGAAGTTCTGCTTCCCATGCAGATACAAGCACTTAAACAATAAGGGAGTTGCAATAAATAATATCTCAACATCCGATCATTGAGGCATAACCATGTTAAATACAAAAATTTAAGAACTTTCTACCAAAAATAAACATTAGAAGTTAGTTCCATTTTTCATGCTATAAACTTGAAATTTAATACATAAATTGATCACAGGTAGGACAGACATGCATGAGCACACTCACAAACCATGCGCAAAATTACATTAACTTTCTATTTCCATTATAAATGATGCTTCATGATCAGAATGGCTACTAATGAAACCCAATATTAAAGTTCAACAGGGCAAATCAGTTCATATGCAGCATCCAACCAAAAAAAATACTCATCCAAATGTAAACCATGAACATACACTTTCAGCCTCATGCCCAAATCCTGCAAAAATGTACAGTATGATTTGCGTAAGTACGTCTCTTTCTTCAAGTCAATAACATCCCTTCTTGATGGGGAATTTTCTTCTATTTCTTTTCTTGAAAAATACCAACGAGCTACTTCCTCTTGCTTTTCTTGAGAATTTCTAGAAGGCCCGCTATCAGAGGTTGAATGATGCGAGGAGTCCCCAGGTAACATCCCTGCCATATATATATCTCTCCAACACTACCAAACCACCGCAAAAAAGACAACTCCTAATAGGAGCAAGACTTTATTTCTTCATAACCAACCTTTAGTATTATTCTGATCAAAGATATAACAACAATGTCAGAGATCATGTTGACATGCAGAACTAATTACAGTTTAATGACCAACAAAAGAAAAAACTCAACAGTGCCTTCATTCCAGTTTAATGACCAATTACATATCAAGCTAAACCACAGAACTTGTCAACAAAATAGCAAAGACATCATAACAAAAAACTGCAGATCTTCAATGACATAAAAAACTAGAATGTTCAGCATTGCCTAATTACATATCCCATCCTATATTCATGTCACAGTGCCCCGTACTGTACCAAAAACTAACTTCCCATAAAAGTTGTAGAAACGGTTAAAGCCAAATGGTTTTTGAGATTGAAACATACTGTAGAAGAATCTTACAAGATTCCATCATATTACTAATCAAATTCCTTTTGAAGGCATCCCAACCTTTTCTATGACATTACTTGATGGAAACCACAAAAAACCTCATTCTTCAACACTTAGGTAGCAAAATGAAGTTAATTAGAAAAAGCACATAATCTAATGCCATCATTCTTAAATACTTTCATTTGACACACTTGAAAAAAGAAACCTTATATTATTTACTATCAACAATAAAGAACAGGAGAAACATTGCATTATCGGTACATAGAAATTATAAATTGAAAGTGAAATTTGTGGGCATTTAAATAATGATTATCTTAAACCTATCTGTATGCCCATTAGTTCAGAATAGCATAAGCACATAATTTGGAAAGACTAGTAAATCTTTTATAAGAATAAATGGTAGTATCTGACAGTTATCAATAAATATTTATTAAAGCAATTAAAAGTATTAGGACGAACTTTGAAAATAATAAAAGAAAAGAAAAGGCATAACATTATCATCACCAACAAACATATACATATATATATATATATATATGAGTAGAATGTTAAATTTCTAGGGAATATTAAACATTCACAAAAGGGAAAGGAAATATCGCCGAATATATAAAATAGAGAGAAAATGTCCGAAAGATATAAAAAAATGAGATTTTGAATCGCAAAATAAAGGGAAAATCTGTAACTGATCTATAATTTTACAATTTTTGCACTTAAAACATGATATTTATCATTTATCACTTACAGTAAAGCTTTAAAGAACAAAAAAGAAAGAGATGAGGGAAAAGCCGTGATCCAAAAACCTAGATCACGACGAACCCACTCGAAGGAGAACCAAATTCGAAGATTGCGATTTTGGAATCACTCAAATTCGGATATCAAATGCTGGGACCATAAAATTTTTCGAAATTTAGATCCGAAACCTTTATCTCTCGAATAAACTCCAAAATCAATCTTTTTTTTTTTGCTTTTTTATTTTCTACATTTCTCTAAGATAATGAGATCACGAAAAAGAAGAAGCAATGACTGAAATCTAATAAATTTGAGAAAAAGAAAAAAAGGAAAAAAAAGAAAAAGAGAATAACCTGGAGGCGGAGGCCGAAGCAGGCTCTTCGCTGCTCTCTTACTGCTCGCTTCTTTTTTCTTTCTTTTCTTTCTTCCTCTTTTCTGTTTTCTGCTATATTTCTGCGCGTGATAAAAATCAAGCAAAAAATACGCAAAGAAATTTGAGGTTTATAGATTAAAATGGTTTTACGAATTTACATGATTATCCCCTTTCTTTTGGAATAAAGAATGCCCCTGAAATAATTGACCTAATGCAATTTACTCTTCATGTTAATAATGTAAATATACCCTTCTTTTTTCTATTGATCGTAGTAGCTACTAGTAGTAGTAGTAGTGTACTTTTGTGACCTATGATAATAACGTGTTTGTGTTTCCTCTTCTAAGTTTGCAATCCAATAAATAACTTATTTTATTTATTCTATTAAAAAATTTATATTAATAATTTGAAAATTCGAATTCGACATTTCCAATAAAAAATCATCAACCATTAAATTAAATATTTGAATAATTTTTTTATTTTTTAATTATAAAAACATCAAATAAATTGCTTTGTTCATTATAGGGAAGTATGAAAACATTGCTATTTACAAAATTGGGAAACATATCTATGTAAGAATATAGTATATCATTGTTCCAAACATTATTTGAACGCCTTTCCCCACCATTCTATTTATAGTCCAAATTCTCCTACAACATATCTTAATATGTTTACTTCATACTTTTTTTTTATACTGTATATATTAATATATAATCATCAAGTTATGATTTTATTGTGGAGGAGGGCCAAAAAAAAGCGTGAAGAGTAAAAAGAAATGAGATTGTTAAGCCAAACAATGCAAAAGCCATGGAGTGCCACTGTTTCGGCTTTACTTCAGTATACACAGAATTTCCAGTCAAAATGCTAGCCAATGAAGTTTATCCATGACTGAAGCAAGGAAATAAGAGTAGCATGGCATCAATACAACATTGTGTCCCAAACTTTCGACCAGTCATTATCTTCCTGTGGCTTAGCGGGTAACCAGCCATCCAGGTTTGAATAAGACATCTTGCTTAAAATCACGGCCAGTGATGGAAGTTGACTCGCCTTGTCGACGGAAACACTGCAGATAAAGCAGACGAAGTTTTTTTAAACAAACAAAGCTTCCATGTAGATGTAGCTTCCAAATGTAAATGGAAACTGATGTCACTTTGAACAACTAAAAAGGCTACATCAATATGTAACACTCTTTCACACCAAACCCTAGCTTACATTGGTTTGCAATTTATTTAGCAGATGCAGATGTTTCTTGGTAGAAATTTAAAACTAAAAACCATTGGAGTTTCAAAATGATAATTGTAAAGAGTTAAAGAAATAAATAGTCATTCATTCCTAGGAAACTTCGTATAGAAACATCACAACCCCACTTCTGATCCAAACTTTGGAAAGATGAAGAAATATATAATGGTTAGTCATCACCAACCTTGTAACAGACAACTGTATCATCTGGATACATGGCAAAAAGCTTGGTTCCAAGGCGGGCATGACAAGAATCACAAAGGCTCTCATCATTAATCTGCACAAGCCTTGATCTCTCTTCCAATCTAGCAAGCCTTGCATCAATGTGTACAGCACGGGATAGATAATGAGCAATCTGGGAAAAAGAAAGATCAAGATGCAGCTCAAATCATAAGCAGTAGGACTAGTCCAAAATATCTTACTTGTCCTTGACGGTGATGATGAAGTCGAGCTCTCAACATTCTCATTATTGTATCAGATGCAAGCTGAAGAGGCATGTCAGGGGACAGAGTCTGCAAAATAAACACTCAGACTACCCAAATCAAAAAGCCATATGAGAAAAGAAACAATGTACTATAATTCCAGCACAGATAACTAGTTAGGCCTGGCTACATGATAACATAAGAGCATGTTGCACACACGCCTGCAATGAATTATGCATGTGGGAGACAGAGAGAGGGCTAGACCTCTAATACTTGCAAAGGGTCCAGTGACTCTCCATGATTATGGAGAAGGCGAACAGCAGCCTTAAACATAGGCTCTTTACCATCTCGTGGATCCAAATACATATCAAGTAACCTGATATGATCATGTCACAAACAGATTAAATAATACAAAAAAAAAGGTTCACATGCATAAGCAGAGAAGTAAAGGAAAGAAATTATAAGGGGAAAAAAAACTAACTGCATATAGGCATCTGGTCGGCCAATCTCAGCACAATACTGTTCTGCTGCGTCGCTATCCTCTAGTTTCCTGACAAGTCATTGAACGTTAACAATAAGAACGCAAGAATTATTTCTATTATGTTTATCATCTGCATTCTTGATGGCTAAAGATTATATTTACAAATTGCCTACTGCACCTAACATCCTAATTAATATTCTGGGACTTATTTGAAACTTACAGGGCCAAGATTTGGAGCGCCAATGTCTCTTGTCCCAATCTTCTGTATAGAATAGCCTAACAAACCAAAACATAATCTTAAATTAGCAAATGCTAAATGCAACAACTATTCATAAAAACATTTGAAAAAAGCAATTTAAAAAAAATAAACAGTCAATCTAGGAGTTCTAGTTGAGTATAGCATTAAAAATTCAGATAACATAGTCAACTGAACAGTTCACGACAATATACAAAGTTCTAACAGACCTTTTCCAACCATAACTCTGAGCTTTCTATCAAATCAAGGACCTCTTCTGGATCATACAAATCTGAAGATTGTAAAAATATCTGCAATCGCTCCCGCACAGGACTTTGAAAGATAGAATTTCTTTGAATATCAATGGTTTTCACTTGCTCTTCCCTTCCAGCATCAGGGCTTTGGGAGCTGCTTTCTGAATCAAATGTTTCAATAGCTGACTTGGCAAGTGAAAGAGCATAGAATGTATGGAACCGAGTGTCATCAGAGTCTTGATCTTCAATTAACCACTGAAGGTACCTACATGGATAAGCAAGCTCAATGCAAAATTGATGCAGTGAAGGTCACATCTAAAACTAATAAGAAAGAAAACTTGTATATTAAAAAATTAAAGAGCTGATATGAACAAGGAGAATACTATGACCAAACAAATAGAAGATGTTTTTACTATGAATATAGGAAAGAAAGGTATAATGATAAAAAAAAATTGAAATATTTCAAGACAAGCTGAATAAGTAAGAGCTGCCAAAGCATAACCCTGTGTATGATATGCCTACAATGGTGAGAGGTCCTAGAAGCCAAAAGTGCAGTTGCTAATTATAATGCTTCAAAAGTATAATCCATAAAATGATTTATGCACATACCGTTGGAGAATCTCAACCTTTTTTGGATCAATTGCTGCAATCACTTCATCTGCAACAAGATACTAATTAATAAATTGTGCATCATCCAGAAACAAAATTTACAGCTGAAACACTATGTGTCACTGCACAATAGTATGGCTATTGTTCATGTCAATTCCAAAAATGCAATTGACCATGTACCAGAACCATAATCCTAGACAAATTATTAACTTAAAATGCAATCCACCTGGTGAAAGCTGATCTGTTCTTTTTTCTGATGTCAAAACCCGAAATGCAAGTATTGGATTTATTTCTGCAATCTGATAAGCAATTTTCAACGTCCATAATTAACCATTAAGTTAAAGGAGCAGAAAAACTTCAATTTACAAATAATATGATAGTAAAATCTATCATAAGAAATAATATTACATACCCATGCAAGATGCTGCAGAACTAAATCCTGATCAGATGAATCCTCAAGAATCTTTGATGCCTCAGTTGCAGCAGTCTCCCTACCAGTTGTTACACTTGCACTTCCATCATGTACACCATTTTCCACAGCAGGGTCTTGCCAGAGACCGGAGGAATAATTTCTTGCCAAGATGCGCCAAATAGCAAGAGCCTTTGAGTTCATCCCTTGACTAGCATATAGGAAGGCAAGTGTCCGCAAATGCCCAGAGCCATCTAATAAAGTTTCTAACTCCTCCTGCACTGCCCATGCAAGTTGTACAGTCATCCTTCAAGCAACCTCCTGACAACGGTCTCTCTGTTTTCCAATGCATTGGAATACTAAGATTCCACATTTTATCCACATTTTTTGCACACAGGGCATTCACTTAAGGCCTATAACCATAATTTGAACTTGATACAACTAACCAAGAAAATATGTATTGAAACCTGAAAGAACTGGAATTGTACCAGTCTTGCATACCAGTTATTGCTCCCACTCCAGCTTAAGAGTATATGTTAAATTCATGTTAGAAGGAAATAATTGTCTCTTAGTGTCATTTGTTTAAAATAACAAGCAGTTAAATTGACGAAAGAAAAGCCCTAAAAGATGTTCAACTTGAGACCAGATTTTCCATTTATTTGACCAGTAAATCTGTAAATGTTTTTTGTTTTGACAAGGAAAATTTTTCTTGGAACACAAATTTTAACCTTAAACATAAAATCATGCACAATAAATCTCTTTTTACTATATATTCAAATAAGAACAACAAAATCCTTACTCCTGTATTTGATATATTTTCTTCTTTTTTACATGTGAAATAAAAGGGTAAGACCAACAATGCTCTATGATACCCAGTGTTGAGTAATTAAAATACATTATATTTATTAAGAGTTTCTGACCTCCAAGAATATCTTCTTCTATTACCTTAAAACAATCTGTGCTTAGAGGTGAATCATTGATTCAACATTTTATTCATGCATATATTACCAGTGGCTTTAAGTAACCCACTCCAGCAGGCAGCTGATTTAATGCAGAAAGGATATGATTCCAAAACTAATGCATGATTACCAAATGAGATAAGCAAAGAAAGAAGCACATACCACAATACAGCAATTTTTGGAAGATGCCAGCTTCTCCATATCATCAACATAATCTAGGGCTCTATATAGGTACATTAAAAGTGTATCAACCCCCTCCTTCACTGACAAAGTCAAATCTTTCTGATGAGACACCTCTAGATACCTGTAGCAGGGAACAACAACTTAGATAATGTTTAAGGATATTCCAAGCCACAAGACAGCGCTGCAAAAGAATACTAAAAGAGGAACAAAAGAATTATCAAATTTCGATCAAAATTGGAACTCAAATAATTTCAAAAGCCCCTATCATCTCATCTTGGCAAAGAGAGAGGAAGCTGAAAAAATGCAGAAATTATATGAGTAAAGCACGAAAACAGAGTAAACTGGAAGGGCACCTGATAATGTTCTTAATTGCAGACTCCAGCAATTCAGCCCTGGTTGGTGGATTTGATAGAAAACGTTCATCAACCACAGTTTCTACACCTGCTTTTCTGAGGAAAATAGCCCTTTGAATAGCCAACAACCCATTATCCACAACATCTTCGAGAGGTACAGGAGGGGGATGCAAACCCCAATACCGGTTTCGAGGTACCTGAAAAGGTCAATTCAACTCCTATGACAACAAACCTTCAAAAACATTCACAAGGAGTTTCAAACAGTAATCAGAAAAGAATGATCATTCAGCAATTCAAACCATACCCAAGCCAATCAACTCTTCTTTCTCTTCCTTGTTCATTGACCAGCATTACAAGTACTCTCATAGATGAAATTGGAGTAAATAATTTTATGGTGACATGATTAACACATTATCACCCAGAATCACAAGCACTACTACAGAATGTACAAAATCAGACTGTCAAAAAAATGCACTTATAGAAGACATACCAGGAGTGACCAGCGATTTGGGTCTCTCATTATAAATGGAAATACTTCAGCAGGCTGCATTGTTTCTGACTGCAAAAAGTGATCCACTGCTTCCTCAAAGTGCAAGTCAAAAAGTAACAGGAAGCCCACTTGAGCATGAAAAATGGAAAGCATTTCCGTAGATATTTCACCTTCACACTCGAGCTCCTCCACCAAGGAGATAGCTTCCTTGAAATTCTTTTTTCTCAACAGATCTTTTAGTTGCTCTTCTGAAGGCACTTTCCGGTAGCAAATGACCTGGCAATATTTAGCATAAAGAAGGACAATGTACCACAAATTCTATATTATACTAACAGCCATAGAAATGCATATGGGTTCCAAACTGAGATCATGAAGCCTAGCCCAGAATAGCAGCATAAGCCACTAACATACTCACAATTAAATTAACAGTCCAGCTCAGATCAAAGAAGTCAATTTTCTAAGATGTGATAGGTTATGCAGCACAGCAAAGTTGATGCACTTAGCTTCTAATAACCAATAGCAATATATCCATAATATTTATTGAACCTTGAAACGTAAACTATCAGCCACTATGTTGCCAAAGTCTTTTTCAATCAGTATCAAAATTTCCAGGAGTATACATAAATATGTACTCAAATACATCAATCTCAAAATTCAAACATCACATCTCATAGAAAATGCATATGTAGGATTTTATTGATCATATGTACATTTCAAACAATGTGATAATATTGAGAGATTATTTTAACAAGCATGATTCACATACCTTTGTGGGAGTAGCAACAGCAACAAGTTCCCCACTACTGTTTTCCTCATCCGCAACAATACATTGCCCAACTCCTTCAACACCAAAAGTAACTACTTGAATGCAATTACCCGATTTCTTATGGTACAGCTCCATCTTCCCATCCCTCACAACTACTGCATATGACGACAAGTCACCAATCGAATCTGGACCACCCTTACGAAACACCAAGCTCCCACCAACAGGCTGCCCAAGTGAATCAACAATCACCCCTACATTGTCCACTAACAACAAAACCTTCCACTCTCTCCAAAAAAGCTTCAACAATGGTGGCCTAGATACATCGGGTAATGAAAAAATCACACCACTTTGCCCCGTAACACATGAAAACAAACTATACCCATTAATCGAACCGACAATTATGGAATCATCAAGCCATACCATAGACTTCACTCCATCAAAACAATGCATTTCTCTTAGCATTACAAAAGAAGCATTTATAAAACTACTGCTTAAAACAACGTCTATTAACATCAATTTCCTACCAATAACAAGGGCAAAAACGTAATCACCTTCTCGATTCTGCTCTAATTCTCTTGTTTTGACTCCATTTGCCCTAACCCCTCCGAATTTATCCAAAATCCGTTGCCCTGTTGATAAATTGGATGAATTACCCGTTAAATCGGTGCTTTGGGAATGGGTCCCTCGGAATCTCCGAGCAATAACGCTAATTCCTTTTAAACCACCTAATCTTTTAACGGGTTGAATCAAAAGCGAATCCGTTAGAAACAAGAACCCATCGGATAATACTAAAACCACGTCGATCTCGGCAAGAACGAATATTGATTCCACGGGAGAGTCAGAAAGGGAAACAGTGCGGAGAAGGGAAACGTTTCGGGAAAGGGAAGAGGAGGAAACGGATTCGATTGGAGGCGGATTTGGGGTTGGGCTTGGGCTTGGGTTAGGGTTAGGGTTAGGGTTAGGGTTAGGGTTCAGGGAGAGTAAAAGGAGGGAGCCGTTTTGGGTACCAATGTAGAGGGTGGATTGGGAAAGAGAGAGGGAGCATATGGAAAGGTGGTGGGTTGGGAGATCGAAGAGAGCCAAGGGCTCGACGGCGGTGCGGGACTTGGGCTTGTCCATGGGAAGGAGGTGTTAGGGGATTGTGGAAGAGATCGCCATTGAATTTGCGCTGGAAAAGTTTGGAGACGAAGAGAAGAGTTAAGACTAAAACCGTCTTCAGGCCACCTACCGGTAAATGACAACTGAAGACTATTTTGTTTGTACCCGGGGGCGCGTTGGTACTTGGTCAACTTAGCTTATACCCTATGTCGGATTTTCATTTTTTTTTTAATTTTAAATTTTTTTTTATTACTTTTATTATTTAGATTTTGATGTTTAAAAAGCTAGTATTAAAGATAAAAAAGAAAGTAATTTTATATACATTTATAAAAATTTATGTAATTATAAATGTTAAATAAAAAAATAAAAAAAACCCGTATTTATCACCCACGAAGGTTAAGTCATTAGTGTTTTGTTCTCTTTTTTTTTTAATTTTGAGAATGCGTTTTGGTTCTTAAAAATGTTTATTACTCATTTTATTATGTCCAAAACATAGCTTTTGCTATTTAAAATTAAAAAACTTAAAACAGAAATAATAACAAAATTGGAATCTAAAAGAAGCTAAGAAACTTTGATTAATAAAATCATCAAAAGTGAAAAAAATTAAAGCTCTAACAGCTTGGGCCAATATATAGTGGCGTCGGCCATACCCGTAGGCCTGTTTGTAAACATGCCCGACTAAGCCCATTATTCAATTGGGCGTTGTTTGCAAGCCACGGCATTAATTAAAAATCAACTTCCCATGGCAATGACCGATTTAGATTTCTCCTAAGGTGCGGCAATGGCAAATACAAAACTATCCTCAACCTATATCCATTCATATTGGAAATAACGATTAAGTATAAAACAAAAATAAAAATAAAAAAAAGGAATACTGCATAGCTGTTTCTTTTCCACGAAAAAATAGGCAGCAATGACTATTTTTATTAGTCATGCCAGAGTTGCCCTCTTTCTTTTTGCATTTTTGACTGCAAGTAATTTTATAAATTAAGTATTATGAATTTAAAGAGGAATCTTGAATTTTATATTAAACATAAAAAAAATGTCATTAAAGTATAAAAGTATTTACACTAATTTTTTCTTATGAGATATTTTTTATAAGATAAAATCGTGAAACTATGGAGTTAGAACGAATAATTTCTCACAAGAATATGAATCGTAACGATCAGGTTGATCTGAAACGTTAGAATGGTAAATGTTCGGGTCTTGGAGTCGTACGGATTAGAGCTTAAGTCTCAACACGTGACAAGTAGTATCAGAGTCAGTCCTATACTATTCGATCAACGTCAAGCACTTCGAGAGAAGTAGGCAGGGTGACCAGCTTTCATGAAAAGAGCGTCACGAGATTGGGTGAAAACAATGTCACAGACTTAAAGAGGAATCTTGAATCTCACATCAAACATAAAAAAAAGTCACTAATATATAAAAAGATTCACACCACCTTTTTCTTGTGAGACATTTTTGTAAGATAAAACCGTGAGACCATAGGCTAAAGCTGACAATACCTCACAATGATGTAAACCGTGACGATCAGATCGGATCTTGAAAGTCGTACGAGTCGAAGCTTAAATCTCGACTCATGACATTAAACGAGTGACTAATACGATATGCTGCAATCTAAAGAAGAAAATTTGTTTGAAAGAGAGAAAGTTCTGGGTAGCGACGGATCTCTTTGAATCCAGAAACTGACCGTAGATGCCATAAAGTCTCAGTTTCTCGGCTTCTGAAACTGACGGTCTTGCCTTCGAAGCAATAGACTTCAGAACACCCTCATTTATGATTGGCTTTTTTCCAGGCTCATTGCTATTGACATTGTTCAAATGTTCAGGGACTGCAGCCAGCTGTGCATTTGTGAGAAGAGCTTGGGGGTCAGCTCCACTAAATCCATCTGTCATATAAGCTATGGCGTCTAAATCAACATCACTGGCCAATGGTAGCTGCATTATTTGTACCAAAAACAAAGAAGCCTTACAGAGGAAAGAAATGTAAAACATTAAATTATGTTAAACTTCTAGTTCCATATGTAGCAACAATTTTTTCATTCCTCACTCAGCTACATATGCTCACAATGTTGTGAACTTTTGGGAAACATCACTATCAGAAGAATTTATACTTTGGTTTCTATGATAAAACAGAAGTAACAGAAGAAATCATAAGAAAAAGAAGGCATTAAAAAATTATGCATCGGTTAACAATTATCACTAACCTTTCTAGAAAGAACAGTCAGAATGTCCAACCTCTCACGCGGAGATGAAATCACAGAAAAGGAGGCGATCAAGCCTACCTGTTCTCAACAATGCAGCATCAAGTAGATCGGGTCTACTGCTTAAGCTAAGAAATCAAGTCAACTTTCATGAAAGGCAAGCAACTAATAAAAACAATGAAATAGGAAATTCATATATTTATGTAAACCCCCTGAAATCAAGAAATCAATTTGGACAAGAAATTTAAATTGTAAAAAATTTTGTGCTATTCGCAAAGCTATCTTCAGAATTAGTTGTTGAAAGTTATTGACTACCAGATCTATGTGCATTGGGACAATGCCTAATTAGTAATTAGTGAACCATAATTAATAACATTGTGGATAGAGATGTTGTTAACTGGAGATTAATGTAATACATATGGTTTTCATTGATGTTTGTAAATACTTGATTTTAGTTACTAATATTTTATTTTTATAAATTTCTTTAACTTTGTTAAAGTTGAAAGATAAATCAAAATAGATAATAAAATTGTTTCAATGGAGGATATTTTATGGAATTGTTATTCATAAAATAACTTTTTCATAGAATAGCCGTTCATGAAACAATTATTCAAGAAATAATGCCTTCACAGAATAACACTTTCATAGAACAGCTATTCTCAGAACAAACTCTTCAAAAAATAACAACAACACTTTTATTGAAAACTCTTTTATCAAAAGTTACTTCACTAAGAGTTATTCTATAAAAGATGTTTTATTGAATGTTACTTCACCAAAAAAATAAGTGAAAATAACCTTGAAATATGATAGAATTTTTGGGTTAATTCCACTATTGGGATGTTTCAAAGAATTTGATTTGGTTGATCAAATATAAAAATAGTTAAGAGATTTCTTTTTAATCTTTTCTTGAAATGTAAGTGCTTTTCTTTTTATATCAAAATAGATAGTGAACTTTTATGTGTGCTACACCTACAACTAAAAGGTAATTAGACTTTCATTAACCAATACATTAACACATTTTGTAACAACTAATTTCCCCATTATTCACTATTATTCATATTTAACATCTTTTATAAATGTCAATTTCACCATTAGTAATATTCAATACTCAAGACATGTAGCTCCTATTTTTTAAACCTGTAAATAGGAGTTTCTAGAGTTCATTAGGGGGATTTTTGGAGACTTTTGGACTTTGGCAAATTTCTCACAACTTTCTCTCAAATTCTCTCTTTAAGTCTTTCTTTCTAAATCATTCTCGAAGCCTTATTCTCTTCTCTATTCAACCTTATTTCACCACTTACCACTACTTACCACTGCACTCAATACTTCAGGGTCTGCTCCAATATTCCTCTTTGTCATATTCTGGTATATCTTGTTTTACTTGTTTGCAACGCTTCATCACCTCAACAGGGAAACTGTTTATATTTTGGTGACTCCACTAGGGAGGAACAATTGCATTAAGTAAAACTGTACATAAGATGTTTACACTACTAAATGACATGAGCAACTCTACCAAATATGAAAAATCTTAATGCCACAAGAATATTCAATGATGGAGCAACAATCTAGTTAGAACGTTTACTCAATTACAAATATTTAATCTTTACCTCTTACTATTTTCAACTATCTAAGCATTTCTTTATCATTATTATTTAATGCATATACGTTTAAGAATTTCAATTAATTGATAAAAAAAAGTGTATGTGAGAAAAATGAAAAGTGTGTATCATTCCAACAAATGTCTATTCTAATGCATGTTCATTTATCAAATATTGCAAAAGTGATGAAAATATTTACCTTTTTATAACTTTAAGAAAAAAAAATCATAACCCTAAACTGTGTTGAGAATTTTCTTTAATTGTACATGAGATTAATCTTCTAAGTCAAATTAAGATACAAAATTAATATGGCCGCTATGTTGAATCCACTTTTATTGGCCACAATTTGCACTTCTTGCTTTGAATCAAATTAATCTCCTTAATATTAAGTTGAAAAAAAATTATCTGCTTAATATATAGTGGAGTTTAATCTTTTCTTTATAGGTTGAGAATTTACCTCCCTAGTATGAAATTGAGAATCATTCCTTGGTCGCAACTTTATCGTTCATTCTTTAACTGCTACTTTATTGTTGATACTTGCTATCAAATGAAACTCCTTAGTATTAAAGTTAAAATTATCTCTAAATTGAAAATTGTTATTTGGCTGCAGTTATATCGCTCATTTTTTTGCGACAACTTTATTGTTTTTAAATGCTATCAAATGAGCTCTTTTAATACCAAGTTAAGAATTTTCTCTCGAATAAATTGACAATAAGATTATTAGCCACAACTTTATTACTTATTTCTTGGCCTCAATCTCTTAACTACTATGATGTAAATCATTTTGATACTTTGTGCCTATAACTTCACCGTTTTTATTTAGATTAAACATCTCTTTTGTATTAGGTTTAGAACTTATCTCTCTAATATGAAGCCGAGAGTTTTACTTGATTGCACATACAATTAAATTAGTATTACTATTATATACCTTACCTATCTCATAAGTGAACATATTATAATTACAATGAAATGCTAATATTATCAAGACTTTTCGAATATCAAAGTTGAAAAATCTAATGAATACTACACCATATACATATTATTATATCACATAGTTTTTACATGTTAAGAAGTTCACCTTGCTTCGAATATAATATCCATATGAAACATTTAAAAACTCAGAATATATTGGAGCAAAAACATCTTAAATCTTACTATTTCATTTAGTTTACGTTTAAATTCTTTCAATAAAAAATCATATGGTCTAGTACCAATATTTTATTCTTATAAATTTATCTAAAGTTGTTAAAGTTAAAAATAAATCAGAATAGATAATAAGGTTGCTTCAATAAAAGATATTTTATGAAATAATTATTCATGAAATAACTCTTTCACAAAACAGTTGTTCACGAAATAATTATTCAAGGAACAACTCCTTTACAAAACAACACCTTTATGAAACAACTGTTATCGAAATAACTTTTTCAAGAAACAACAATAACACATTTACCGAATACTCTTTCATCAAAAGCTATTTCATTAAGAATTATTTTATAAAAGACATTTTACTAAATGTTACTTCACCAAAAGAAGTGAAAATAATCTCGAAATATGACAAAATTCTTAGGTTAATTCCACTATTAAAATGTTTCAAAGAATTTGAATTGGTGGATCATATATGAAGATAATTAAGAAACTTTCTCTTAACTTTTTCTTAAAATATGAGTGCTTCTTCTTTTATTTCAAAACAAATAGTGAATTTTTATGTTTACTATACCTATTACAAAAAACTAATTAGACTTTCATTAATTAATATATTAACACCTTTTGTAACGGTCAATTTTTTCATTATTCACTATTATTCATATTTAACACCTTTTATAATTGTTAATTTCACCATTATTACTATTCAGCACTCAAGACATATAACTTCTATTCCTGAAACCTGTAAATTAGAGTTTCTAGACATATAATTCCCTAGACTTTTGGACTTTGACAGATTTTTTACAACTTTCTCTCAAATTCTCTCTATAATCCTTTTTTTTTCTAAATCCTTCTTGGAGCTTTATTCTCTTCTCTATTCAACCTTATTTCACCACTTACCATCACCCGTCGTTGCACTCAATACTTCATGAGCTTATCTAATCTTCTTCTTCGCCAGGAACTGTTTGAAAGGAAAATAATAATGAGAAAGCAGTCAAAGTTAACGCAAAATAATAATATGCAGCAAGCAAAAAGATACTGACTTGATTGACAACTCAATCAGTTACTCTTACTCCAGCGTTGTCAAGCCCGCTTTTAAGGGCAATGGAATCAAATTCATCAAAAAAGAGGAGGCATGGTGCTGCAGCAGCTGCCTTTGAAAAAATATGTCGAACCTGAAACAATAGGCATTGAGCGTGCACCATTAGTTACATTTCTTCAGTAGAAATGCATTAACATATTTCCGGAGCATAATGATGAGATGAACTTCTTAGTTGGTAAGGCATAATGTTTGCACAACTCAGAATCCTGGTCCCTTGGACTCTTGTTAACAAATACTACAAATTGCAGGTTTACACCAACAATAATATATTATCGCTGCCTACACCCTTAAATACAATTGTTAAATAGCATGTAACAAGAACTTGCGGCTACATTTCATTTTAGGCAAGGTAATTAATAATAATACAAGCACATTAATGCATTTACATGGCTCTTTCTAAAATTATTGTTTAGATCTGTTATTCTGGGTTTAGAAGGCAAAGAATCAGAAGGCAAAAACCAACCAATGGCAACATGAACAGCTCTATCAACCAATATTTCCTGAAACAATGAAATTCTTTGGTATCAATTTTTATGCAAAATTTTAGGATAAGCTACATGAAAGAGTATGCAATCTCTTTCCCTTAATATACCACAGAATGCGACTTATCCTACCCAATTTAAACTACATGCAGATTTAAAACATCGATAAAATTAGTAACAAGAGGGATAAAGATGCCAGTAATATACAGATGGAAGTAAGTGATAAACTTATCCAGAGGAGAAAAAAACATTAATGCCTCTTTAAAAAAAAAAAGAACTAGGCAGAAATAAATGCACACACACAAGAAACAAAAATACCAGATCATACGCGTCATATCCATCACATTTGGAAGCTACATCCATTAAGATATCGTCATGACATTGTAGGGAAGGCCTCTGAATTTCATGCTTCAATATGGCCCCTCGTTCGGAAGCAGCAGGTGCAGGCAGTTGTACATGAAAGTCAAACCTTCCTGATAATAACCAATTTCAAGAATGCAATACTATGAGAATAAGAGGAGATAAGGAAATTACAAAAGTCAAGGTTTGTTACAGTTGCAATACAAGTAACAGGAGGTTACGATCCTTAAACCAATAAAGTAAAGACGAAGACAAACCTGATGAGCTCAAAGACTGGGGGCCACTCTCCAGAGATTTCACAGAAGCTATAAAAGCTATTGGACCAATACCACAGGAGCTCTTCCTAAGAAAATCTATTAGCTGACCATGAACTATTAAAATAAAAATGAATCTAAGATATAAAAAAAAAAAGTTTGGATCAAGAGCTTACATTTGATGGAATGGAATCAACATCTGTTAAGGCTTCAGTACTACCATACAATGAAATGAGGGACAAGTAGGCATCACAAAGATATTTACCCCATATTCATCTATAATGTCGGAGAGAAATTTAATAAGTGCAACAACTGAGATTGAAGGTTGGGATCCTTCTGAGTCAGATGAAGATTCGATGATGCTATCAAGATCATCAAAAACAACAACTGAAGGTGCATGATCAAGATCTTCAGATATGAAACTTGAAAGTGCTTGTTGAATGGTTTGAGGCTTCTCTAAAGCAAGTCCTGAGCATCATATAAAGATCCTGCACGCACAGACAAATATTAAAATGAGGTTTCACCCTTGGAAACCACCAATCAGAATTAAAAAACTATAAAGCAATGAAGATTTTTTCCAGACAGAGTCAGCTATACTTACAACATTTCCAAATGTCAACAATGAGAAGGATGCATGTGCATTTTCAAATAATTTCTTACACATGTGCTAACAGGTCTTCATGTTCGTCAAGGGATTTTGCAACAGCTCTTGCCAATACCGTCTTTCCAGAACCCTAATACAGAAAGAATATACCAATTTTTATTCAAGTCAAAGTAATCAGAATTTGTACGTCAAATAAATAAAATAAAGCACTCTTAAGAAAAACAATAGAAGTAGATTCTAAAAAACATACCTTCAAAGAGTAATCCCTAAAAGAAAGGTAAATGAATATTATGCAACAGCCTCTTTATCACCAAACATAAAGAAAGAACAAAGTTGAGAATTTAAGATTGTCAAAGAAGAAGGTCAATATTACATGATATCTACTCCACAAAGACCTCTGGAAGATACTGTTGAAAATTTAAGTGTCGTTTTAGAAAAGATTAGAAATTCCAGGATGTGGTAAAATAGTAATTTCCAAAAAGGCTGTTTCATGACATTTCACACAGTAGGTGAACAAATTCAATTTTTTTATTTCTATTTATTAAACTTAACAAATGATTATAAATAATATTTTAATATTTCTTAATTAAACAAATAGATAAATACAACAAAATTTTTCATATGCGGATTCATTATTCACTCATTCCTCAATGACCAACGGTTTGAGCCATTTACATTTTTGCAAAAGTACATATTCCTTGACTCATTGCTGCAATAACGTAATAGACCTACTCAACCACTGATCAAAAGCTGTCCTGCTGTCCGCTTACTACTCATTACTTAAGCCGAGTGCTCTACTTATTTTTAAACTGAAGTTTTTTTTTAAGAAAAAAAATTGAGCATTAACCCCTTAAAAGAACCAAGGAAGCACCAATCAGAATCTGTTGCTGCAATATTTGCACCTTCTATAAAAGCCAACTTAACATAATCTACTTTCTAAACAAAAGAATGTAAGACCAGCTAAAACCCAGTAAACGGAATAAAAATATTATAACCATTGCGCCAAAGCAGTATTGGAGTTCCATATCAGTTGCTACGATCATCAACCTCACCATGCCGGTGAAACAATTAACTCAACTCTATACACCAGCCTCATTTAGGGCGGAGCTGAATCAGGCTGCATGCTTTGTCCATAATTGAGAATCTGTGATTTCGACACCATGTTGACCATAGAAGGAGTTTCATAACTATTTGTCGCACTAGTGCTTGTAGTTACAGCTTCTCCAAGTATGATTGTTGTTGAGTGGCCCCTAGTTGTGGCCCTCTGCCATGAGTGTGAGCTTAACCCTGAGAGAACATATGCCCGCCCAGTCTGTTCATATAACTGCATGTTTGCCATTCTCTGGCTGGTTTCTCTCAGCTCTGCCTCAAGCCAGTTGCACAGGCCATTCCCAGCTTGGGCTGATACTGAAGATAACAAAGCTATTCTTTGCTCTGACAGCACAACCTGCGCACTCTGTAGATCTCCCAGTTCAGCCATCCTTTGGGCATTTGCAATAGCTTCTGCCACAAAGAGACGATTCCTTTGTCGATCAACCTCCAAGCACACCATCCTGTCTGTAGGAGACAAAAACTCAGGTCGTCTTATCTCAACTCTCTCGCATCTTGACTGAACAACCTCCATTGTTGTTAAATCCTTGTTCGAGCACAAGACATCCATCAATGACATTTTATCTAACTTTTTCTCGCCTTCAGCAAGTGATAATGCTGGAATTGCGACGTATACCAGGAATTCCTTCTTTTCATCTGCATATAAACTTCCAACATCAATGACAGCTTTCTGCTCTTGATAAAAGATTTCACTCTTATATCTCCCAGAGTGAATTGAACCAATTTGCACTCCTGGAGAAATTGACTGTATTGTCAGTTGCACATCTTGAGCTACAACACTGAGAAGACCACCAATGCATCTAGCAAATGCATCCTGTAAAATGTCAATAGACTCAATAAAGGAATATGTGCCACCTGATATATCAGCTATAGCATGCATTGCATTGGAATCATGTTCTGAGCCAAACCCGAATGTGTGGACTGGAATGGTAAGCTGCCGGGACTCATCTCCAGGTGCATTATTCCGAGGAAAAATTGAAGCAGGAAAAAGGTAAAGATACTGCAAATTCTGCCTTGAATTTAAAGTGTGATTCTGTACACTGCTGTATAGCCTGTGAGTATCACCATTTAATGTATCATGCCCATCAGACAAGAGGATAATGCTTGCAATGGGATTATTATCACGTCGCTCGTTGAGAATCTTAAAACCTTTCCTAAGACCTTCCACAATATTTGTCCCACCACTAGAGGAAAGGGTATTGATGGCACAGATAGCATCATAGTGACCACTGCTGCCCATCCTTCGCAATGGCAAAATTCTACGAGCTGATGATGAGAAAGTAACTATGGATAACCGATCTGATGGACCCAAGTTTTGTATGATAAAGCAAACTGCGTGCTTAAGAAGGGCAAGCTTGCCAGCCATGCTGCCACTTACATCGAGCACAGCGACTAGGTCAATGGGTGCACGATCAAATTGTTGAACATCGACATGAAAAGGTGGAGCACTGATGCCAACAAGAATAGCAAACTTTGAAACAGCATCTGAAGCCAAGACAGCAGGAAACTCTGGAAATGCCTTAATGGTTATGGCTTGTGGTCGAGTGGATGATGAAGGGCCTGCAAGGATGGCTGGAAGCGGTTCATCGTCAGAAAAGCGATCAGGTTCCAACTGAGGCAGGGTTGGTTGATGCAAATTATGACGGAAGCCAGATGCAAAAGTATCTTCAAGTGGAGCATTATAGAGAGACACTCGGGCTTGGCCCATGCTATTTTTACACTGGGAATCAGCAGTAGAAGGGATATCTTTCCATTCAGAACGGCAAATGGGGCAAATGCGATTTCCATGCTGCACGTTGGTTGCAATACAATTGAAGTGGAAAGGATGAGAGCACTCAGCTGTGAAGATGGCCTGGCCTTCTCCCTTTTTCAAGCTTCCCAAGCAAATTGCACAAATCTTCTACACCCATAAAGAGAGGAATTAGGGGTAAAAAATTAAGAGTGTGATGCATGATAGTATTATAGTATTAACTTTACCATATAGCTAGTATCTACATCATGCATGAGAATGACTAGCACTTAACTTCGTATGAACGTTCCACAACATCAAAGTACCATACCTTGGATGATCCAAGTTGGACAAAATATTAAAAAAAAAAAGAAAAAGAAAGCAAGCAGTCCAAAAAGACATTGCAACATTCTTAAGAACGAAAACAATTTAATCCAACAGAATGGAAATAGACTTAAACTATAATGAATTGGATGTGTAGCTTAGATTGAAACATGCAAAAGTGCGGCGAGAAAGCTGACATGATTAGAAGGTTCAAAAACTTATGGTAAAAATTCAATTCATAAACATGGATTTAGGAACAACAAAAGTTCAAATCTCTTTTTTTTTTTTTTGGGGGGGGGGGGGGGGGGGAGGTTAAGGGGTTAGGGGAGCAGGCACAATTTGATGTAGTGTCAAGAGGGATGATGGAAAGAATTATGAAACATTAGGGCAAACTTACCAGTAATACCAACATATATTACCAACCACATAAAGACACTAAAGCTTCCATTTTTCACAAGTTGGTTACCTCTAAATTGACAGAAAATAACAGAATCAATATCAAGAACTTTGGTAGCATTAAGTTAATTAAACTCCCAACAATACGCTATTTCATTATTACCAAGTATGGACATGTATCCTGCTCATGGAAAATAAAACGAATGGAAGCAAAATTCAATGCATGATTTATACAATAGACAACTGGGACAAACATTATTCTCACTAGCCAAAAAATGGAAAGATAATTCAAAGTTTTCTACAAAACAAACAGTTAGAGGATTTCTTCCATGAGAATGATCGCCCAAAAAAAAAAAAAACGTCCATTTTTCTAAAACCAAAAGCTTTTTCGTCCAATTCCATATCCCAATCTTTTTTTTTTTCCTGAAAGATCAACCTTGAAGATGGAGGATTCAAACCCAATTATTTTTTAGTTTAGGCTTAGATGCACCTAAAGGGTGTGGCATTAACGTTTCATAGGCAGATGCCCTACTAACTCCACAGCATTTACAAACAAGTGTGTGGCATAATCCGTAATTTACTCCTAGGTTGACACTAATCACCGTTTCCAACTCAAATAATCACTCAATTTAACAAAAAGTGACCAAACTGAAATCTTCATATGCAAATTTACCCTTGTACCCTCACTAGCAAATGTAAAACAATGAGAAAAACAAGATAGAAGCAAGACAACTCTGTCAATCAACATTAAAAAAAAAAAAAGAATTCAATTCGGTTAGGATAACTGAATAGCCGGTTTTTTCGCAGTAACCAAGTTTCACTCTTTCGCCGGGAAAAAAAAAAAAAAAAAACTCCGTCGCAGCCAAAGAGAAAAAACAAAAAACAAAACAATAAATTCGAGGTGAGAAAGGGAATGCGAGGAAAACTGACCTTAGAAGATCGGAAACTGAAGCTGTAAGAGAGAAGAGAGGAAGAGCGAGAGACAGAGGAAGGAGAAGGCGAAGAGGCAATGCCGTTGGCTGAGGAACTGGAAGAGGAGGAGGAGGAGGAGGAGCGGCGGCGGTGCTGGTTGTCGAGGTGGTTAGAGATCTTCGGAATCAGGGATTTCTTCAACTTTTTCCATGTACTCGCCATTTCTGTGCAAAGAGAAAAAAAAAATTTATTGATGTTTTGAAGGGAAATTGTGTTTGGATTTGGAAATGGAATTACGAAAATGGCAATCGGCGTTTGTGGATATACTTTGGTTATCAAAAGAAAGAAAACTGAAAAGGAGCGTAAAGCTTAAGCGAGCGAGAGAAAAGGGACGAGGAGACTGGGGAGTTAAAACGAGATACAGAGAAATTATTTACGGGATTCGTTTTAGTGGAACTTACGGGCATCCGTTTAAATAGTGATTCTTTTTTTTTTTTTTCTTTTTCTTTAATTTGGATTTCTTCCCATAACTAACAAGAGTACCAAAGGCAAAGCGTAATAAAGAGCTGTAACAATAAATCAATAGAAAAAAGTGACGAAAATTATATCCTCCGCCATCGGCTAGCGCAAATCCTTTAGAATATATTAAAAGAATTATAAAAAAATCTATATAAGAAATAATGGAAGATGTCCTCTAAAAATACATGAAATTAATTTTTTTTTAAATACGCTAAAGAGATGTGATAATTTTTGAAGTTCAAAAACTTCATCGAATTTTTTAAAAAATATAATTCGAACTTATCTCAATTAATTAATTTATATATTATTTTATTATTAAACAAAATAGTTTAACATTAAATTAAATGAAAATAAATTATTTAATAAAACAAATCAATGAATTGAATTAAATTAAATTTAAAACCTAAAACTTTATGTACAAACTTTACTCAAATCAAATAAGATAAACAAGTAATCTTGTCTATAAACACCTTAAAATGAAATTTGTGATTTTTTTTTTTTTTTGTATTTTGAAGATCCATGGTTTTTATCTATTTATGGATCAGTATTAATTGCTCAATTGTTCTTAGCCATAAAAAAATTTTGCTCAATTGCTAATTGACTGACCATGGGGCAAGACAATTGTCCTTTTATATGTTTTTTAATGGTTCATTTCCACATTATTTTTCACCTTTTTTTTTTTTATTTCCGTTAATACGAATATAGATAAACAAAAATTTCACCAAAACTCTAGTAACATAGTCCGAAAATATTAAAAAACCGTTTGATTGTTAAATCTGTTAACCCACTGGTTGAACCAGTTATCAAATTGGATTTGACTTTTTAATTAATATTTTATTTTATAAATATTTTATAAATGGTAAATTTTGAATTTCTAACCCATTAAATAATAACCAAAATCTTAATCACTTAACTAAATATCTCTTTTTGTCCTGTTTTTATCATTTTAATATGTATTTAATATTAGGTTTAAAGCTCAATCAGAGATTTGAAATTGAACCATCTAATTAATTGAAAATCGAACTTGTAATATGACTCATCTGATTATTAAAACATTGCATAACTCTATCTATTTTTTCTCCCTCACATTTTTAGACAAGCTGGGTTGGGTTGATTAAATAAAATAATAAAAAATAGATTTGAATGTATTAATTTAGAAAACAATACAAGTATTCACAGCTTCCTCTTTAGAGATTACTATCATTATTAAAAAAATTAAAATATACATATTTAAGAAAATGATTCAATGAATGCTACAAAAGAGTGAAATGAACTGTGAAGCTTTTGTGATATATATGTATGTTTCCTATGACATTGATACGAGTCATAGTCCAATGAAAGTTATTTATTATTTTGTGTGATGGGATTTTTTTATTTTTGAATAATTTCCAAAAATATATACCAAAGTTTCCTAGTGAGCTAGCCACCCAACATATCCAAATTGCTAGTCAGTTTGTTTGCCTAATAGACACAATGACTCCATGACGGTGCATGATGGATGATGAATGATTCGATGCTAAAAAATGTACACTGTCCAACACTTTGACATCAAACAACTCAAATTACTAGTAATTCATAATTTCATACAAACTAAAACATTTAATTTGATCTTACTATTATTTCGCAATAATCATTTTATTTGTGATCTCTCTTTTTTTTTTTCTATGTTTTAAAAGGTTCAAAAAATAATGATAATAATAATAATAATATTATTATTTAATTATTGTTCCTTAACCTTTTTTTATTTGCATTTTGATATTTAATGTAAAAGAAATAAAAATAACAATGAATTTAAAAACAATTGAAAATATTATGAACAATAATAATACTAGATAATTAATTAATAAAAATTACCACATCTCAATCCCATAGTTGACACTTATAGATGACACTCCAATTTGTAATTATCTTTTACATTATTAATAGATTCAATTGATAAAAAAAAAAAAAAAGTGTCAGCACCATAGTTAACACGTGGTACCTCAAACCAACTAATTGTAGTTATCTTTCATATTATGCATAGATGAAAAAAATATATTAAATATTTGCTGAGAGGAAATGAAACCAAATATCGTTATATTATGTTGATGACTTGAATTTCAGCAGCTTCAAACCATTAAGCCCCCAAAGTTGTACAAATGCCTATCAAGTTGACATTGGGCCTTGGAAAAGCCTAAAACCATAAGCTTGAGTTTCTATTACAAACTCTAAATATTCTGAGCCAAGGAGCCCAAAGAAACTAAAATGGGTTAATTTTCTGATGTTCAGCAAACATCTGTTGGATATGAATTAAGATTTTATTATTGTTTAATCAGGTTAAAATTAAGTGACAATTAAGTGATAAATTATTCTAAACACATAAGTTGATAGAAAAAAATTATTATTATTATATTTAAATTCTAATATGTTCCTCAAGTCAAATAATGAAATATTAAAAGAGAAAATACTCGTCAAATTCGAATTCAATAACTCTAATATTATATTAAAATTGGACGATTGATTATCTCAAAAGTTTTAAGTTGATAAAAAATGGCAACTATTATTATATTTAAGTTTCAACAAATCACATCATTTTTTTTTATAAAATTTTCACGAAATCGAATCCGAAATAATAAAACTCTGGTTTCCCCTACTGTCCAACACACGAATCTCATGGTGTGGTAAATTAATTAAGTACCATTTAAATACCCTTTCAATAAGTATATACTTGGCTCCATATGCGTCCACATGGTTATAATTAAATGTTTTGGTCCATATCAATTATATATGGGAGCAATTGCAACTTGCAAAAACAGCAGTAGTTTTCACATGAAATTGAAGAAAAGATTGAGTATAAAAAATAAAGTTGAAGAAAAGATTGAGTATATATAAAAAGGTTAAAGAAAATATCATCTACGTCTCAGTGACTCAATTGACTATTGTTTCTTGTCATTTTAAAATCTAAGAGTCAAATATATTTGGTAGTTGATCCATATATGTGGTTTCATTTCTCCTGTGATTTCCAAATTCAACTCCCTTATTTTTCATTTTGACTAATATTTTTTTTTTTTCGAAACACATGCAATACGTACTCACACACGTAAAAATTCATGTTTTCCTTTTCCACTTTGTATGTAATTAACAATTTAATTGTAGTAAAAATAAATTATGAATTTTGATATTATTAACTTACTTGCCCAAATTCTTTGATAAATTATAAATTACTTTTCACTATATGAAAAATGATGTTATTTATTTCTATAACAGTTTAATTAAAAAAAATACGACAAACATATTTAAAAGATCATTCGCATGTTCATTTATAACATAATTTTAAAAAATAATTATTTATAAATTTTTAAAAGACATGTAACCATAATATAAATGCAACACTCTTCTCCATAATCCGTTTCGAAAAAGATATAATAGATAACTTCAAGTTGTCAATTATAAAAATATCAAACCGAACGCAGATATTTAAGCTCTGTCATCTATATAGAATAATACTAATAATGGATGAATTATAAGTTCGAAGTAAAATAAGAAGTCAGTTTTCTTTTTCCTAATCAAGTAAAGAAGATATTTTATTTGCTTTGGTTTGCTGTAAGTATTTTTTGCTGTCGCCATGGCTTGTCTCAAGTAAGATAGATGATGATAATGATGATGATAATGATAATGATGACGATGACATTAAACGATTTATTTATCAAAATAATAATATAAAAAAAATAAAGATGACACATATTTAAATTAATTATCGATTATTTCACGAAATTGAAATACTCGAAGAGTTTGAACTTTCAATATATTATTATGTTTGTTTTCATGACCTTTAGCCATCAACAAGATCACTTAAGATTAAGAATTGGAGTCTTAGAATTAATTATTATATTATTAATTGATTTTCTAAGCTACTTAATTGCATTTTTGAAAGCATTGTCTTTCTAGATAAAATGAAAAAAAAATATATTTTCTTTTATTTACCAACGATATACTATGATTTGTTATAAAATTAATATAAACATTTTTCTTTTTAGGTGATACCTTAATAATTTAAGTTTAAGATTTTATTTTAAAAGTCACCAGCTCAAATAATAAGATTTATAAAATAAAAATATTAAGCATGTATCTCTAAATCAATTACTATGTTATTGGTGTTGGCATATAATTTAAAATTAATTAATAATTGATAAACAAGTCTAGTTGAATATAAAATTACAGATATAACAAATGAAAAAAATATTAATTATTTTTTAGATTAATTGATATGTAATTAAAATTAATACTTAAAAATTATAAAAATTTACACATAATTTTTTTTTCAATTAGATATATAATAAAATAAAAAATTTTAAATATATATAATATTTATATATATAATTAAATATAAACTTTAATACCCAACTTAAATTAAACATTATACACCACTCAAAACTTAACAGACGTGTGACAAAAGTCACCTCCAGATAGATTGCGGACGACGATATGTTTCGTTCTCCTTCCTCAACTAAAATGTCAAACAATACATGTTAAATCAGTCGCCAATCGCCACCGTCATTAATTGGTTGACATGTCGGTACTTGACATGAAATTTGTAGCGATGAAAATCTGCCGCCCGAAGAAAACGAGTACATCCATTTGAAAACACAATGAATCTCACATTTTGATTTTTGTCAAAAGTTAATTTGTCGTTTCTAAAAACTTTCAAAATTTTTGGCATTGTTTTCAGACTCCAATAATATATGAAGTGGACTGTTTTCTCACATATGGAATCCTAAAAGTTTAATTGTGGACAAAAAAAAAAAAAAAGATTGTGAACGAGAAAGGCACTTTGAAAAGAGTGCTTACTAACTTTTTATAAATTTTCTTCAACTAAGTACAAATTGTGACCCTTAACATAATTTTCCGTTCTTTTTTATTCGTCGCTGTTAAAAGTTGAATGCACAACCCCTTTATCAAGCTTCTTTTCTCCTTTTTTTTTTTTTTTTAATGTTTCCACTCTCATATTTTCAACCATAATTTTATAAGCTTCTTTTTTTTTTTTTTTTACATTTGAGAATCTTATAAATTGAATCTCAATTATTAAAATTAAAATGATTAATTTTTATATTAATGTCTTAATTTTTTGTTTTTAATTGATGAATTCGTTCATGGTTCGTGATGAATATATCAAATTATACAAAGAGCTATGAAAAAATTGAAACTTTACATGAGTGGACTAGGCATAATATTGGAGCTCGCTAATGCCTCCATGGCAATAGATTTGGTATTTTTGCCCTCGCACTTTTGGAAATGTTCTTATTTTGTGACCGTGTTTCCCTGTAACTTTTTGTATAATACACTCTCATTCAAAGTTAAAAATATAAAACTCTATTTAACGTATAAAATAATAATAAAATTAAAATTTAGTTTAATTGGTTTGTATTTTAGGTTTAAATTTTAATATTTATAATTTTAATTTTTAGATTGTAGCTTATTTTTATATAAAAGAGTTAAAATAATTTTTTATCGATGTGAAGTAATATATAAATTTAATAATAATCGATATTATTCATTTAATATATAAATTAAAAGTTTATTTTTTATTGAATTTGTAATTATGTTATATTATAAAATTTTATATTTTAAAACTAATACTCATTGCAATAAATTTAAAAATAATTTGTTTTTTAATTTTTATAATTTTTTATTATGAATTTAATAAATTAAATTTGTTTTCTAATTCAAAATTTTAACATAATTTATATTATAAAATTAGTTTACCTATCAGTAAATATATTTATTAATTTAATTATATTTTATTATAAAATAAATAAAATATGACTAGTATTTTACAAATTACCATCTTTAAATAACATTAAAATCATTAAATTATATAACTATTATAACATACATGATTGTTTTTGTATTTTTAAATAAAATAGTATTTGATTTTTAATAATATCAAATATAATTATATTTAATTACTAAATATTTATAATTATTAATTAAATAAAATAAATTTAAATTATGAATAATAAAATCACCTTAATGATTATGTTACTATAATGATTTTATAAAACAAAATCAAACATTATAATAACTTATATGTCATCCAAAAGTCATTTAGAAAAGTCATAAGGATTTTTAATTATTTAAATTCCACATTGGTGAGCTTATTTAAATGATTCTTTAATTAATGAAAGGTGCCCCTGCCAATGGAATCACCACAAAAAAAATAATAATAAAAACAAAATAAATGTGGTGCACAAAACATTAGCAAAACGCAAATGTGGAAATATCTTTTCCATTACTAAAATATATGATAGCAATGAAACCATTTAAATGTACACGAAATTAGGTTATCCCCTTAAAGAAAAAGCAAATAAATTTGTTAGGCAAGTTAGATCACTTGCACGGTTCAAATTTTATCAAGCTTTGAGTTTGGTTATTTGATATAACTCTTCTTAAGACAAATAACGAAAATTAGTGAAATTTCTAATTTTTTTTATACAAAAAATTCATAAATTATAAGTAAATAAAAAATTTTAAATATAAAAAATTTTAATTATATGATACATTAAGATTATATAAATTAAACTTTTCAATATAATCTTTATGCCCATTACATAATTTATATCATGTTTCGTAACGCAATTGAAAATTTTTTTATTTGAAGTAAAATATTCAAATCTTATTTGTTTTTTAATTAAAAAAATTATGTACTAATAATTTAATTAAATACTTGACAATGCAATGAATAGTTTTTTTATTACTAGCAAATAAAAATTACTTGAAACATGATTTTTTTTTTTATCGACAAATGCCAGACGTGAGATTTTTTTTTTCTTTCCTTCGAATGGAAAATAATCCTGAAAAATAAATGTCATCCTAAAAAAAAAAATTTCATAAAACAAATTAAAACGCAAAATATTCCTGTAAATATTTTCAATTTTGCACTTTTTTATTTTGTAACGGCATGATTTCAGCATTTTAATTTTCGTATGCATTTGACAATTCACTATTAATGGTTACAATCTGCGAAATGGATGTACAAACAAAAATAGGCTTTTTCTTTTTATCGGCGCCCTTCAAAAAGATAAAGAATAGGGTCTATCTTTCCGGACAAAATTTGAATTTTCGTTGAGTGTTTATTTTTAAGTGAAATTTGTAAAATTATTTTATTAAAAATTATTAAATAAAATTATAATTAAAAAGTAAAATTAATTTATTGAAATATTTTATTATATAAATTAAATATATAAAATTTTTAAAAAATTTAATATATTTTTGAATAAATATTTTTAGTAAAAATTTTGATCAAATTTTTATATAAAAAGATATAAATTAAATTTAAATTATAAACTATATTTTTAATTATTTTTTAAATATTATTAATTTTTGTATTAAAATCTATTAATTTATCTTAACATAAAATTTATTCTTATCCCATATTGCTTAAACATTATGTTTTAAAATTTTTTTATCAAATACATTAATAATATAATTTTTAATTTTACAAATAAAATTAAAATAATCATACATATCTCTCAATATATATTTAAAATAAATATATATAATTATTTTAACTCCATTTATAAAATTAAAAATTTCTATTTCACATCAAATAAATTTTTTGTTTCGAATTATATTTTAACTGCCTCTCTCCAAGTCCAACTCACACTTTCGCTTCTCTCTCTTAACAACTAAAAAAACGAAAAACACTATATTTTACAACTCCCACTGCCTCTCTTCTCATTTACACTCTTTTTCGATATATTAAAGCCATTTTCTTCAATTTCTTTGGAGTTTAGGGATTGGTTTTCAACACCCATTTCAGAGCTGTTTTTGCTTAGCAAAAGCCAAAAAAAAAAAAAAAAAAAGAGAGACACTGTTGTATGGATCCGGAAGCCGGGTCTGTCACCCGGGAGTCTCGGCTGGTACTTTATTTTTTTTTTTCAAATTTTTTATTTTTTGGATTTTGATGTCTGTATTTGTTGTTTTGCTTAACTGGGTACTTCTCTTTAGTTGCTTTTTTTTTTTTGGTTGTTCACTCTTCTTGTAGTTTTCAAATGTTTGTTAGTTTTGGGTTCGGTTTGTTTGCTGAGAAAATGTGAAAGAAAAGAATAGGAATTTTAAGTTTGTGTTAATTTTGATAATATTTTTCTTATAGGTTTATCCAAAGTGAACTAAATGTGATAAGTTGGCTGAGTTTACGTTGCGTTTTGAATTTAATTTGTCGCTTAAATTTCGTTATAGTTATTATTATTATTATTATTATTATTATTATTATTCATAATTTATTGAATTTGGTTTTCTTCTCCGTTTGTTCTATTTTCCCGTTAGATCTTAAAATTATGTTTTAAATATATATTTCATTTCTTTGAAAATTTTGGAGTTCCAAAATTAATTAAAATTGTAATTTGCTTGTTTTTTTTTTTTTTTTTTCTGCACGTAACTTGTTGTTGAACATGCTTGTTTTTTTCCTCTCATGTTCCATTTATTGAAAATATTTAGAAATCATAGCATAGAATTTTGGGGATTTTATTGTGTGCAAGAAAGAATTTTGATAATGAATTGAGGAAATTCTAATATGTTTGATGCTTGTTTAACATGCAGAAATTTTACAAAACAACTTTATGTCTTGCTTATCAGAGTTTTGGTGTTGTATATGGTGACCTAAGCACTTCGCCAATCTACGTTTACAAAAGCACGTTTTCCGGGAGGTTGAGCCTTCATGAGGAAGATGATGAAATTCTTGGGGTACTGTCTTTGGTTTTCTGGACTTTGACTCTAATCCCTCTATGCAAGTACATTATATTTGTGTTAGGGGCAGATGATAATGGGGAAGGTGCTTTCAAAAACCTGCATATTTTATCACCTTGTTTATTGAGAAAAATATCTCTGCACTTTGTAAGGATTTCCTGAAGGAAGCTTCATTCCTGCAGGTGGAACCTTTGCTTTATATTCATTGCTTTGCCGGCGTGCAAAGCTGGGTCTTTTGTGTGCTTCTAATGCACCTGGTGATGACATATCTGCTTATAACTCTGAACTACCTAGGAAGGAGACTGTAGCTAGTTCTATTTTAAAAGAGTTCTTTGATAAGTATCATGGTTCTCGGATTATGTTGCTTCTACTTGTGCTCCTGGGGACTAGCATGGTTATTGGTGATGGCATCCTAACCCCATCAATGTCTGGTATTATCTTTCTCTTTGGATGAATTGGAATTAGATTACCTTTATTCTTTTCAGAAGGATGAATTTGGAAGTTAGATATTTTACAGAGCATTTGATGTTGCTTTGCAGATGAACCCTATAAAATTGTATATGACTGTTACATGTTGCTTGATGTACTAATCACAAAAAGTTGCATCTTGTTACTTTATCATCTAATTTTTTTCTTCTCCTTTATGATTTCCTTCTGCATTTACTAATGAGTTGCATTTTTATACAGTTCTTTCTGCTGTTAATGGCATCAAAATTAAGGCTACTGGCCTTCACGAGAGTAAGTCAAACTAGCATTTTCTTTCTCCCTTTAGAGTGTAGAATTCCTTTCTATCGCTTCAGAGTCACTCAAATCCTAATTACATATATATCTACAAGCTAAGCCTTCCTGCATTCTTCCATTTACTAGTTGGAAATTTGCAGGAAAGCTTCTTGGCATATTACATTTTGGACAGGAGTTTCCAAAACTCCCATTCAAATGGAGCTAGTATAGTTTAGTTTCATCTTTTGATCGATATTATTGCTGCACATCCTTAATTTAGCTTCTCTCATGCAGATTATACTGTGTTTATTGCATGTGTGATTTTGATGGGGCTGTTCACACTTCAGCATTTTGGAACTCGTAGGGTTGGATTTCTTTTTGCTCCTATTTTGTTAGCATGGCTCTTTTGCATTAGTGCTGTTGGAGTTTACAACATAATATACTGGAACCCACGTGTTGTCAGTGCTCTGTCACCATATTATGTGTATAATTTTTTCAAAAAGGCTGGAAAAGATGGATGGAGTTCTCTTGGAGGCATTGTTCTTTGCATTACAGGTTTTTCAGTTACTCCTCTTGCTAAACCTATTTCATTTAATGTAAATTTGATTAGAGTAATGAATTTTATCTCTTTCAATTTATCAGGTGCAGAGGCCATGTTTGCTGATCTTGGTCATTTTTCCCAGCTTTCTATCCGGGTAAGTTCTTACCTGTTTGAGCAAAGTTTTAATAATTTGGAAATGAGTAAGAATCATAAATGCATGCTATATCTGTTCCTATCTACTTTGTTTGTCTCAAAAATTGTAAATGCCTTTGTGAACTTCTTTTATCTCTCTGTTTTCTATCTTTGTTCATTGGGTAGTTTCTCTGGCCGATTTTGCCTATTTCTTATGTCAAAGCATGACTTCAACTGATCTGCTATCTTGATTTCTATTAACATAAGTTTCTGATGAACAGATTGCATTTACTGTTGTTGTATACCCTTGCTTAATTTTGGCGTATATGGGTGAGGCTGCCTATCTCTCCAAGCACAAAGAGGACCTACAGAGAAGCTTCTATAAATCAATCCCTGGTAAATCCAATGAACAAGTCGAAATATTTCATTGGGGAGTGCTCCATATTATTGCTCTGCAAGCAAAGGGTGGTTTGATATCTGCTGTATTTTGTTACCAAAAAAAATAAAATAAAATAAACATGTAAATCATATAGATCACTGAGCACAATTTTAAAGGTTCATGGCATGTAAAGCCTGGATAAGTTTAAATGATACCTAATCAAGTCTGGTTTACTGCTGAGCAGAAAAAAAAAAAAGAAGTTTGGCTGCTTAAATCTTTAAGTATCTGCTCCAATCCAATAACACTACATTTTATTGTTAATAATACTCTTGCTTTTTAAGTACTTTGTTGGAATAGAGGAATTAATGATATACTAGTAAGGTTGAAAATAAGTGGTACCATTATTATCAGATAGTACATGGGATTGGGGCATAATCTCATAGCAAATTCTCCTCCCTCTTTACACAGAGGTTGTATTCTGGCCAGTTTTTATCACTGCAACACTTGCAACAGTTGTTGGGAGTCAGGCAATTATTTCTGCTATTTTCTCAATAATCAGCCAGTGTAGGGCTTTGAAGTGCTTCCCACGTGTCAAGGTGGTACACACATCAAACCACATACATGGGCAGATCTACATACCGGAGGTGAACTGGATCTTGATGGTTTTATGCCTTGCTGTTGTAGCTGGCTATAGGGATACCGACGTGATAGGAAATGCATATGGTACAATCTTGATTGCTCTCTCTCTTACCCCTCTTCTCCCTGCAGCTTACTCACTTATGACTTTGACTTGTTGCTATTATTGTTTTAGGTCTTGCGGTGATTACTGTTATGTTGGTTACGACCTGCTTGATGTTTCTGGTTATTGTTATGGTTTGGAAGAGGAACATTTTGGGAGCTCTAGCTTTTGTCATTGTTTTTGGATCTCTTGAGTTGTTTTACTTATCCGCATGCCTTGCAAAAGTTCATAAAGGGGGTTGGTTCCCTCTGATTTTATCCCTGATAGTTCTGTCTACAATGTGCATATGGCACTATGGGACTCTAAAGAAACAGGCTTATGAGTCACACAACAATGTTTGCTTGGACATGCTTCTAAGTCTGGGTCCAAACCTTGGTATAAATCGTGTTCCTGGAATTGGCCTAATCTACTCAAATGTGAGCACAGGGGTCCCACCAATGTTTGCCCACTTTGTCACCAATTTTCCTGCCTTTCATCGTATCCTTATATTTGTTACTCTTCAATCTCTTACAGTTCCGAAAGTTCCTGCCAATCAGCGATTTGTTATCAGTCGCATTGGCCCACCAGAGTTTCGACTCTTTCACTGTGTTGTTAGATACGGTTACAAGGATCAAAGGAAGGATAGTCATGATTTTGAGAATCATCTGATTGAAACTGTGGCAGACTTTTTACAGTGCGACAACAATGATAGTGAACTTCAAGCCTTTGGAAGGAAATTTGCGAATCGGCAGCAATCTAGTTCACCAGAGGATGTTTCTGTTTTGAGGCTTGAGAATGGAGTTAATGCTGGATCTAGCAAGAAAACAGTGAGATTTCGTAGTGTGGGATGGAACAAGGAATTGGAGGATCTGACAGAGGCAAGGGAATCTGGTCTGGCATATATGATGGGTAGCACTTGTGTTTTGGCGAGTGAAACATCTTCATATTTCAAGAAGTTTGTCATAAACATTGTTTACGGGTTCTTGAGACAGAACTGTAGGCGTCCAGCCACGGCACTTGGGGTTCCACACACCTCTTTGATCGAAGTAGGAATGGTTTATCGAGTGTAAATCCTGGCACAAAGTTTTAAAGAAGGTGATATTTTTTAACACAGAGGTTGATACTCGTGCGGTCTGGTATAGAATTGAAATGGAAAGGACCTGCTGATGCAATGAAGCTGCAAATAACTAATAATCGAACTAACTGCCTAATTTTACCACAGTTTGTAATTAAGGCATGTAATTAGCTTTTAAAGTTTTAGGTTTTTTTACATATAATACAGTTAGATTTGGAGGTTTTACAGATTTAGTCCTTTTAGGAATACACAAACACGTAATCAAAAATTTTCGAAGTGTCTCCTCTCTCTGTGCCTGCTCTTTGTTAGAGTTTGAACATGAAAAACAATCTTCCAAGGGCCATCTTTCTGTAACATCTTTCAGTTGTTTAATCGAAAAGTTTTTGCAGCTTTAAGGATTAGTAACATCAGCAACCAATTATGCATCATCAAATAACTGGATTAAACTAAATTATGCATTAGAAAATAGATTTATAGATGCTATAAATCATTGATTTATATTTCATCCAATATACACCGACACAATATATCTCAACTTCACACAGGTGCAAGAACAAAAAGTTAATATATATATATATATAAACAATCCACTTTTCTCTACACCCAAAAAGATAGAGACATGGGAAAACAATTTTTTTCGAATGGAGCCCATTCTTATAATCCAATCTTGCACCTGGTGTAGCTTCAATTCTGTGATACCCCTATCAAACATTGTCTAAGTTGTCAGGATGGTGTGTGTAGAAGGAGGAGGAGGAGTTGCATCGGGCGGCGGAGCTGGTACCCCATAAATCTGAGGGTTGGTAAGGATATCTCGTCTCCCTTTAGCTCTTCCCAAGAAGTAACATCCAACACCAAGTAATATGCAGAAGATAATTAGTGGTAGAGAGATAACTACAACCATACCCATCTTCACTTCAGCTCTTCCCAAGATTTCTGTGTTTGTAGAAGTTCCTGTTTCTTTCGTTGTCTGAAAGAGTTTATGGGGGGGAATATTTATAAAGAGATTCCTGGCTTCTTAAATAAATAATCTGGTGGTTTCAGGTTCCGTCCAGGACAGAGTGGAAGAGGGGGGCAAGGGCTTTTAAAATGTGTTTGCTGTGTACAGCATCCAACGGTTACTTTTTGGGGTGGGGCAGACCAGAGATCCAATCCAATGTAGGTTTTGGGCATTTCCTGTGGAAATGATGAGTTGGCTTGGCTTATGAATGGGACTTTGTCTCCCCAATCGTTCCATTCCAGATTCTAGTTCTCCTGGGATGTTACTCCAATAAAATTATTCCTCCTCCACTAGTTGATTAGTGAAGGTTCTTCTCTATTAAATCTTTATTTTAGTGCTGACAGTACTTTAAATCAAATGTTGGGACAAATTTTTCCGAGAAGATTTTTTCTAAAAAGAAATTTCTGGTTTTGGTGAGAAGGCTACTATTGTGCGACATATCATCCTGGGAAAATTTTCGATTAAATATAAAAGCTCACTGTATAGTTGGTTCAAAAACATATATGATTTTATAGCAAAATGATAAGGAAAAACAACGCTGGAATGGACAGATTGATCAATTCCAGGAGTTAACCACAACATTATCTCCTCATTTTTGTCCGTTAGCCGGCTTTTGTTATGGTTATATTTCTCCAGCCTCTGCTTGTTCTCTACACTCTAAAATTCACTTGGTGAAAGTTTTCGATTTGACTTTTACCCCGTCAACTACAACCAATTGGGATAAATTTTCTAGTTTTTTCCTTCCAAAATCTTTATTGGTTTGGCCGGCAGCATGTTCTGAATTCCTTTTGATGTTTGTATTTTAGTTAGCCATTTTGTCATTTTCTATCCTCCTATTGCTTGCTTGCTCTTCCCTTATAATGGAGAGGAAAATGGGTCAATACTATTTTCCCCACCAGCCAAACAACTTGTTTAAATGCAGGTTTTGCACCCAAAAAAATAAACCAGGGTTGGGTTTTACATTCTTGACTTAATTTTTTGATCTCGATCTGTTTACTTTTGCAGGCAAGTGTACCACGAAGAGAATGGTCCGAGTTAGCAAATATTCCTGATGATGACTTTAGTGAGCTTCATAGGAAATTCCAGTAAAATAACCAAGTATATTACAAGGTTCCCATGGTCTGAATTTCAATCTATTGCCAACGTATATTACAAGATTACTCAATTAAGACAATGTGACATGGTATTAGCAGCATGGAACAAACAACTCTCACCTTCCTTCTCCAATACTGTCACTGAATTCAGTAACATTTACTGGAGTGAGCATTGGTTGATATGCCCCAGATATAGTCTTGTTCTCATTTTTGATGTTGCTGCTATCGGATTCAATGGATGTTTGTGTTTCTTCACTCATAAAGGTGCCTGTTATGTCTTTAAAATCCCAGTCAGTTAAATAACTCGGTTTTGTTGTAACACTGCTCACTTCAATATCTCCAGCAAGCATAGCCACAACGCGAGACATGGACGGCCGCATTATTGGTGATGCTTGAGTGCATAAAAGTGCCACTCCTATCACTCGGAGAGCTTCATTTTCATCGAACTCCTCTAAAGTTTGATCCAGCAGACTCAGGCTTTGGTTATTTTCATGCAGGTTCCATGCCTGGAGACAACAATGCAGAAATAAATAATCATGAGCAAGTCCTTCAAATTTTAACAGGTACTGAACAAATCGTACTACAAAAAGAGAAAGATTTCCTTTCATTACCCATTCAAGAAGATAAATTTTATCATTTTCTAAGGTATTGTCAGAGTTTGGTCTACCACTGAGAATCTCCAATGCAACAACACCAAAGCCAAAAACATCAGCTTTCTCAGTGAGATGCCCACGCATTGCATACTCCGGTGCCAGGTAGCCACTTCAAGATAATTAAATTACATTGGTGAATAATGTTTGCTAAGAAAACTCCTTAATCTAGCTATTCGGGTACAGAAATGACATGCTATTAGGGAGGACTCATCAACAAAGGTCGAAAGCTTACATTGTTCCTGCAACCCGAGTGCTGATGTGTGTTTTCTTGTCATCATAAAGCTTTGCCAATCCAAAATCAGATATTTTCGGGCACAGCTCCGCATCGAGCAAAATATTGCTTGCCTTTACGTCTCTATGGACAATCCTTGGCCTAGACTCCTCGTGAAGATAAGCTAGCCCTCTTGCAGTTGACAAGCAGATATTGAAGCGGGTTGGCCAATCAAGATGCAAGTCATCGTGTCCTACATTTATGGTGTAAGAAATCTCATAAAGTTGTTCATTAATCAACAAAGAAATAAATTGACTGCACATGTATTACATTTTCTTGTCAAAGACTGAACAACAGAAAATAAAACTTGCAGATCTTTATCATTCCATTCAAATCCATTATCTTTTTTTTTTCTTTAAAGAATGTTCTCATACCAAAGAGTGCCTGATCAAGGCTTTTGTTCTCAAGATACTCGTAAACAAGAAGGCGCCTGTTTCCTTCAATGCAGCAACCGTATAGTTTGACAAGATTACGATGTTGCACTGCTGATATGGTAGCTATCTCAGTAACAAATTGATTCTTCCCTTGGTGTGATGCTACTGAAAGTTGCTTAACAGCTACAACTCTCCCATCAGAAAGTGTACCCTAAAATGTAGAACTATAATTTAGTAACATTGTAATAAATCATCCTCTCCCGGTAATTTTCATCATTACATGTCAAGCTGTTACCATTGTTACAATCTAAAATAGTTTACCTTGTACACAGGTCCAAACCCCCCTTCTCCTAACTTATTTGAAGGACTGAAGTCATCTGTGGCAGCTTTCAACTCAGAGTAACTAAATGTGTTTGGTCTAGGGCCAATACCAAGAAGCACTGCAGAGTCAAGTAAAGCAATTAATAGGCTTTAAGTTGGAGGGATTAAATGCAAAAAAACTTCTCTAATATTACCAATTGCCATAATTAGATATAACTTTGAATGACTTATGAATTTTGCTAGTGCAGAGGAAGCATCCCAATTTTAAAGACAGAAGACTTTTCTCTGTTCTTTAAATATTTTGGGAGAAATTAATCCAAAAGAATGATATTGAACAGAGATCTAAAGGTGAGAACAGCTGCTTGGACCTTGACTACAGCTACAGGGCTCTAGATATGTAATGTTAACAAAATTTCCAAACCAAGAAGACTAAAATTCAAATTATTGAAGCTAATTTTCCAAGAAGTGAAGAACGCCTTGTGTCTATCCGATTTTCTTACTGACACTTGACATGGTACTACTTTCTGTCAATGTGCTTGGATCATCTTTCTGTCCATGGCAAGTATGTGCCTGTGCACTCAAGGCCTTTGAAAAACATGTTTGTCTATTGTAATAAACAACCCATTCCCCATTACTATCAAGGGAGTGTAGAGGATTACTATACACAGCATCCACTACTTCCCACCAAACTGAAAAATGAAAAGGTGACTCTTCCTCAAATTTCCTTCCATATCTTGAATGAGATGATTCATTGTTCTATATGAAGATGCCCTTTTTCTGACATACTATGACTGCTATTACCATATATTTTGTAATACACAGATAACCTTACCTTCCTCATCATCATCTTCTTTTCTTCTCTTAACATAAATTATTGCAAATATAAGTATCAAAGCCACGACGGCAACAGGAACTGCAATACCAACAATCAATGCTGTCCGGTTGTTCTCTTTATGATTGCCTGGCGGTATCCCACTGACAGTCGGTATGAAATCTGAGCCAAACAAAATAGAGGTATTAGAAACAGAAGACAAGCACATGAAGAATATATTACATAAGATTCATGTGTTAAGGTGTCTTACCAGGAACAACACTAATAGCTGAAATGGATGGACCATAATAACCTTGTTCTGGGTGTACAGCAGGTCCCCTTACAGCCCAAAACAAGTGAATTTCAAGATAGTTTTCTATTACGTTGGCAGTGAAATTCCTAATTATTGCTCTCTCAACACCACCAGCCTCCTTTGATATATCAAAATCCCTTAATTGGCGGGTTCCCTGATGAAGCATTGATGAGATATTATAGCATTAAGATTACTAAATGTAAAATTAATTGGACCTAATTGTGATCATAGAAACACTGCAAATAGAGGGCATGAATTTTATGATCTACCATGAGAATGCTATGAGTTTCTACTTTGAACGAAATAGTACCTGAATATAAACATCGAAAACACGCCTTGCTAGACTCTCCCAAGACTGTGTGCTTCGGTTTGGGAAACCTGTTTCTGCAAAATACAAGATTACATTATAAGGCCCATTCTGAAGGCCTAGGCCATAGTATCTGAGTGATCCAGGGGATAGCCTTGAAGTCTGATACAGCTCCGGAGTGTTGGTACTTCTCACTTGTACCAAGGTGTTTGGCTCATACCGTTGAGTTTGTCTGTCTGCAAACAACCCTACATTGCTAACTGCCCATTTCTGTGTACTGGTTACATTAAATGTTGCTGCGCCAACATTTCGATTCTCAGCCTCGAATACTATCCCATCAGAAATCATCTGTGGACCACCACACTTGATCGAGAAGTTTGCGTCTGCCAATGCCAACATTGAAATATGTTAGCAAAGTACTAAGCATTTGTGATGATTAATCTATATATAATTAAAACCTCAATAACAGATGCTGGTTCCAAAGTTTCAGCTAGGTTTACATCGTGGAGGATTTCTATTGCATGGGAAGCTTCTTTGAAGGCATTCTAATCCTGGTAAAAGCCTGTGAAATTTCAAAACAATTTCTGGATTAGGAACTAAAAGATTGCGTCACATAGCAGAGATAATAGCAAGCATTTGGTTTCATAGATATCCAGAAAGTTTCACACTTTTGCTCATGGGGAAAATATACAGGAGAGGGGTAAAAAAGGGTGCTACGTGACGACAACTTACCTTGTGTTTGAGCTATCAAGCGTGAAGTTGTTGGCCACAAAATTCCTACACAAAATGTCATGAAATAATCTCTTATCAAGGTCTTTAATCATATGCCTTGAATTTCTTCAGACAATGTGTAAACAGAGTACACTCTTAAATATTGGCATTGATTTGCAAATTGCAATTGATTCTTTCTACAGTATGATGTCGGCTCTAGGAAAGTAAGCTCCGTTTGAGCACCAAAAAAGCCTTAAGCTTCCAAGCAGTGTTAAAATTAGAAAACAAAGGTAAGGTAGTATATGGTTTAAGATACATACAGTTCTAAGCCTGAGTCTACCCAAGAGGGCAAGGTTCCTGATAGCAAATTGTATGATAAATCTCTGCATTAAGAAGTTCATTAGCAGAAAAGTGAGTAGTATGAACAGATTACCAGAATCAGGAAGATTTAACTGCTGTTACTATTTGATGGTTCACTAGATAGAAGATGCTGGTTGGAAGTCAAATTTTTGCATCATATGAAATTTGAAAACATCTCATAATAATGCCAAACTGATGC